CCATTTGCCTTGAAATTGTATAGGGTCTCCTGCTTGAGCAAGGGGTTGGACTACAAGACCTCCAGGGTCCCTTCCAACTCTTATTATTCTGCTCTCCCATGATTAGAAGTAATAAGAGTCCTGTATCTGGAAACCGATGATGTCTTCCCTTGTGGACAGAAGGACCCTGGACAGCTGCTCGTGGCCACTAGCCAACGAGCGTTTCCTCTGCGCCCCTCCTGCCAGACTCTTTCACTGAAAAACCTCATTAAACAGGATGAAACCGAATGTTGCTATTAGCTACGCCTAATCTGTCTGAACTCCCTGATTTAAGCATGCAACGGAAGGGTGGAAGAGAGCGAGAGACAAGCCCAAGGCTGCACAATGGTGTCATAATCACGCCACAGGAAATTACACCCGGTCATGATATAGCGTTCGGCTGCCAAGGCCTCTGAAAATTGTGCTACCTGATTAGATTGTGAACAGACATGTCAATGTGTCTGTGTGTATATGTGTGTGTGTGTGGGGAGAGATGAGGTCAGATTAAATTGAAAGCATCTGGCAGGAGAAACCGCCTCGACTACAGAGGGCTAAAGCCACATTTCTCTATGCCACTAATTGCATTGCCTCGGTCGTAATGAATATGGCTGCAGAGAGAAGCCTACTGGAGCATCTGAGCAGCTCCTGCTTTATTCAGATCAAACACACAAGAAGGGGGGAAAAAATCTGGAGCGGGGACATGGTGATTCGGACGGAAGAAATCACCAATATTTCCTAGAGGAGAACAAGCTCACCTCTCAGAATGGAAATGCTCCATAGTAATATCATGTATTCCCTAGTCCCGGAGATGATAACAGAATAGCAGAGTTCGAAGGGACCCTAGAGATCTTCTAGTCCATCCCGCCTGCTCAGGCAGGAAACCCTATACCAGTGATTTATTTATTTATTTATTTATTTATTTATTTATTTATTTATTCATTCATTCATTCATTCATTCATTCATTCATTCATTCATTCATTCATTCAACTTATATACTGTCCTTCTCCCCAGGGGGACTCAGGGCGGTGGACAGCCAAACTTAAAACACATGTAGTACAAAAGTTAAGAAAAAACTAAAATAAATTAAATCATCGGCATTTCCAATTTAAAAGCCCAAATCTGCAAAATTGAAAAGTTCCCAATTTAAAACCCAGAATCAATAAAATCTAAAATTTAAAAACCCCATTAAAACCATTTAAGCTAGGCCAGCTTGTTGGAATAAATAAGTCTTCAGGGCCTTTCGGAAAGCGCGGAGGTCCGGGATCAGTCGTATTCCAGGAGGTAGCTCATTCCACAGGCTAACCTGTTGCGTGCCAAAAGCGGGGGGAGCTGGGGGGTGTCGCATGCATGCCCACACCTATAATTCAATGCCCCCTGCGCTCCGCACCCCCACACATGTGTGTGCGACACCCCCCGCTTTTGGCACGCAATGGCAGAAAGGTTACTGGTGGGCCCGGAAGGCCCATTTTTCACCCTCCCCAGGCTCCAGAGGCTTTCTTGGAGCCTGGAGAGGGTGAAAACGGCCTTCCCCACCCCCCTGAGGCCCTCCGGAGGCAGGAAATGATCCATTTCCTGACTTCCGGTGGGCCCAAAAGGCCCGAAAATCACCTGGCCAGCACATGCTGGAGCTGAGCTAGGGCAGCACTTGCATGCCCACAGATATGGCTCCGTGTGCCACCTGTGCCATATGTTCGGCCCTATACCATTTCAAACAAATGGTTAACCAACATCTTCTTAAAATCTTCCAGTGTTGGAGCATTCACAACTTCTGGAGGCAAGTTGTTCCACTGATTAATTGTTCTAACGGTCAGGAAATTTCTCCTTAGTTCTAAGTTGCTTCTCTCCTTGATTAGTTTCCACCCGTTGCTTCTTGTCCTACCCTCAGGTGCTTTGGAGAATAGCTTGACTCGTTCTTCTCTGTAGCAGCCCCTGAGATATCGGAACACTGCTATCATGTCTCCCCTCGTCCTTCTTTTCATTAAACTAGACAGACCTCATGTTTTAACAGCTGACAGGATCGTAGGATCTCTCCCCCATGAATCATCTGGATTCCTACCAGCTAGAGAAAACAAGATATGTGGGATGATGTGGGAATAGCAGAAATTGGAGAACAACTTTATAGATTCATCTTTTATCCTTTTCATGCCTGCTGATGAGCAGTCAGAATTTCCCAGCCTTAGCTGTGACCAATTTTCTCTCTCTTTAATATCCTACTGAAATTATAACCAAATGATGTTTGCGACTGATGTTGTATTTATTGTACACATAAGTCATAATCAGCGCAGGTTTAATAGTATGAACTTCTGTTTAGCGTAGTTTATAAGTTGATAACAGGCCGTGTTTAATATAAGCTAAAATTCAATTATAAGGCTAGCATACACGGGATATTTTCTAATGCATACACAGTTCAGAATGGGATGTTAGACATTAATCATCATTTGTGCAATATGGAGACAAGGAAAGTTCTGTTCAAGAAAAGCTCAGTAAAGATGTTAATTTTGAAGTACAAGAGCAGAATACAGGTAGACTTACAACAGACCATTTATAGTTACAACAGCACCAAAAAGTGATTTATGACCATTTTTCACACTTATGACCATTGCAGCATCCCCGTGGTCACAAGATGAAAATTCAGATGCTTGGCAACTGGCTCATATTTATGACGGGGCCATGCGATCACATTTTTGTGACCTTCTGACAAGCAAAGTCACTTAACAACCGGGTTACTAATCTAACAGGTGCAGTGATTCACTTAACAACTGTGGCAAGAAGAGTCATAAAATGGGACAAACGTTTCACTTTAGCAACAGAAATGCCGGGCTCAATTGTGGTCGTAAATTGAAGACAGTAGACAATAGATATGTTTTGGATATGGTTTTAGTGTTATATGGGTACTTCATTAATAAACATATAACGATTATCTGTAAGCATTTTAATTGCCATATTTTTATTGTGCTGAACCAAACACCCTATTTTTCCAAAGAAATATCACTTAGAATTGTCAAAATTCAAATAATGCAACCATTTTGTGGGATTCTTAACCGTACTAATTGGGACCTCCCTGTAGAGATAATCCTCAATTTATGACGATTGAGCTCAAAATTTCTGTTGCTAAGCAAGACAGTTGTTAAGTGAGTTTTGCCCCATTTTACGACCTTTCTTGCCACGGTTATTAAGCGAATCACTGCCATTGTTAAATTAGTCATCCGGTTGTTAAATGAATCTGGCTTCCCCATTGATTTTGCTTGTCAGAAGGTCACAAAAGGAGATTACGTGATCCTGGGACACTGCGACCGTCAGAAACACGAATCAGTTGTCAAGTTTCGAAATTTTGATCACATGACTATGGGGGATTGCTGCAACGGTTATAAGTGTGAAAAATGGTCGTAAGTTGCTTTTTTCAGTGCCATTGTAATTTTGAACAGTCACTAAACAGTCACCTGTATATTATTTTCAAATGTGAATTGGAAACTGTTTCTGAAGGTTTTACCCAGGGGTGGGTTCTAAATTTTTTTATTACCGGTTCTGTGGGCGTGGCTTATTTTGTGGGTGTGGCTTGGAGGTCATGTGACCAGGTGGGCGTGGCTAGCTGGTCAGAGTCATTTCTGGAAGGTCCTCGCACTTATGACCAGTCCTCACACTTACGACCCGACTCATTTGTTTGCTTTTAACACTGATCAGCTGTAGGACGGCCCTTTGAAGCCCCACGGCAAGAGTTTAAACAGTTTTTTTCCCTCTAGTCATCAGCTGGGACTCAGGAGGCAGCAATAGATTGGGGGTGGGACCAAATAAAAGGTAAGAATAACGTGGGGGTGGGGGGGTGGAAGGGCGGGGGGGGAGAACCGGTTTGGTGACGTCATATCGTCACTGCTACCGGCTCGGCCGAACCGGACCGAACCAGAAGGAACCCACCACTGCTAAACAGTCACCTGTATATTATTTTTAAATGTGAATTAGAAACTGTTTCTGAATTACCATGCTTTACTGAACAAGCAACTATGAATTTTCTTTACGTATCATACTAAGCAACAATGTTTTGCAAAGTACATTGGGCCTTTTGCACGTGCTCTTCTAAAATCCCAAAAAAGTACAATACAACCAGGAGTAGGCTGCTGGGGGTTCACAGGAGTTCGGGAGAACCTCTTGCTAAGATTCTGTGCAGTTCGGAGAACCCCAAAATCCCACTCCTGGCTGGCTCCGCCCTCCCCTCCCCTCCCAGGAGTCCCCACGTGGGACGTTTTGGATGCAGGTAAATGCAGGGCGCATGTGGAGGCTCGGGGAGGGTGAAAAACGGGCCTACTGGAAGTAGTTCGGGAAGGCCGGAAACGGGCCCGTTTCTGGTCTCCATAGGGCCTCTGGAGCCGGGGGAGGCCATTTTGGCCTGGCTTGATCCCACTGTTTCGGTTAAATTGAATTGATTTTAATTGGGTTGTTTTAAATTGTGGCCAAAAATATTTAATTATTTTTAAAACTGTTTTTAAATTTTGTATGTTCTGTTTTTATTCTGGCTGTTCACTGCCCTGAGTCCTGCTGGAGAAGGGCGGTATACAAATTAAAACAAACAAACAAATAAATAAATAAATTTCCGCCCTCCCAGAGGCTCGAGAAAAGCCTCCAGAGCCTGGGGAGGGCAAAAACGCTCCCCCCACACTGTGGTGCAGGAGGCCAACCAGGCCATGCCCACCATGGCCACGCCCACCCGGGCAGAGAACCCCTTGCTAAAATTTTTGAAGCCCACCCCTGAATACAACTGAACACAAAATCTGAAGCTAGCCAAGTGTTTCCCTCACCACAAGCTGCTAGCCCGCTGAGTGTCACCAAAGAAAAGGCCTCGCACATTTTAGAAATAAATAGAATTTATTCATGCTGTTCTATTTGTTGCACTGTCCTTTCACCTTAGGAACGAATAAATCCTGAGGGTTGCAAAGATTTCACTACTAAAGATAGTTGTCTTTTTTAAAAAAAAATATTGTGATTTCAGGGTTCTGAGAAAACCACATTTCCATGTGAAAAATGGCTGGCGAAATCTGAAGACGATGGGGAAATTATGAAGGAACTGGTTCCATCCAGAATTTTTACTGAAAAACTAATGAAAGATGGCACTCTGAAGCAGATTGATGAAGAAATTGATGACTCACTGGAAAGTAAGTCAACTTCCCGGTCTTAGATCAACTGTATTCTCAGCTATTATGAGATGCTGGTGATCACCTATAAAGCCCTACATGGCTTAGGCCCGGGGTATTTGGCGGACGATCTGCGGCCAGCGACTGCTCCCCATTGCCCTGTGTGTTCCCACAGGGAGAGCCTCCTTGGGGTGCCATCGGCCAGACAATGTATTCTGTCCCCAACCACACACACCAACAGACGTTCAAGAGTTAAAGACCAAACCAGCCAGCAAAATCCTTTTCCTTATGATAACGGAACTTGGCAACAACCTAGTGGCTGCCTGCCAAGAGTTTATTATTTACGAAGAGGAGAGATAACTTCTCCCCACTCCTGGTACATCAAAAGAAACAGCTCAATAATTACGAAGTCAATCAAGTCCAGAGATAATCCAGCAAAGTCTATAGCAAAAAGTCCGGCAATGCAGAATGGCGTGGAAGCTTTCAGCTTTGTTTGTCACAAGGTTTGACTGGCCACCACGCTCCCTTTTATATCCTGTGGGGTGTGGTCCAGTGACTCAGCCTAATCTCGGGCACGCCTTTTCTTCTGTTGCGTGTGCTTATCTCTGCGACGCTGGCGTGGATCCAGCCAAGACTCATTACCCTCATCACTGTCCATCTGTGGCTGCGTGGACGTGCTTGGCCCCGGCCCTATCTCTTGCCCTTCGGCGGACACCGAAGGCATTGCCAGAGAGGAGGGTCCTGGAGAGGGAGGCCTTGCCAACTCCTCTCCTTCACTCTCGGAGTCCTCTCCTGCCGATGACACAGGCTCAGATAACAGAGCCACAACAAGCGGGCCTTCTCTGTGGGCGCACCTACCCTGTGGAATCAGCTCCCCCTGGGCCTCCAGGTGGCCCCTGACCTTCGCTCTTTCTGCCGTGACCTTAAAACATGGTTATTCCGCCTGGCCGGCTTAGACTGAAGGGGTTTTAGAGGGGATTTTAATGGTTTTTATAGTTTTATTGGGTTTTTTTTAAAAAAAAAATTGAATTTTGTGTGTTTTATTGTTGTGAGCCGCCCTTTCTTATATGCCGCCCTATCTTTCGGAGATAGGGCGGCATATAAGACTAAATAATAAATAAATAAATAAATAAATAAATAATTATGCCAAGATCACGTGAAGTGTTAGTATGACTTTATAATGCCTTGGTAAGGCCACACTTGGAATCCTGCATCCAGTTTTGGTCGCCATGATGTAAAAAAGATATTGAAACTCTAGAAAGAGTGCAGAGAAGAGCAACTAAGATGATGAGGGGGCTGGAGGCTAAAACATATGAGCAACAGTTGCAGGAATTGGGGATGTCTAGTTTAATGAAAAGAAAGATAGAGGGTATGTGTGACATGATACCAATGTTCCAATATTTGAGGGGTTGACACAGAGAGGAGGGGGGGTTTCAAGCTATTCTCCAAAGCACCCGAAGGCAGGACAAAAAACAATGGGGGATGGAAACTTACCAAGGAGAGAAGCAACCTAGAACTAAGAGAAATTTCCCGACAGTGAGAGCAATCGACCAGTGGAACAACTTGCCTCCAGAAATTGTGGGCGCTCCAATACTGGAGGTCTTTAAGAAGTGATTGGACAACCATTTGTCTGAAATTGTATATGGTTTCCTGTTTAAGCAGGGTTGGACTAGAAGACCTCCAAGGTCCCTTCCGACTCTGTTATTTTGTTACGCTTTATAAAGACGTAGACTAATTTTTCCATCAAAACCAATAGTATGGCTCAGTGGTGAAATCCAGTTTTTTTTTTTTTTACTACTGGTTCTGTGGGTGTGGCTTGGTGGGTGTGGCTTGATATGTATGGCAGGGGAAGGATACTGCAAAATCCCCATTCCCACCCCACTCCAGGGGAAGGATGCCTATTTCCTTTGAGGTTATTTATTTGATTATGAGTCATCTTTGAAGAGGTTCTCAACAGATAGATAGATAGATATATGTTTGGTGGGCAAGGCAGGGGAAGGATACTGCAAAATCCACATTCCAACCCCACTCCAGGGAAGGATGCTATAAAATCCCCATTCCCTCCCCACTCCTGGGGGAAGGATATTGCAAAATCTCCATTCCCACCCCACTCCTGGGGAAGGATCCTGCAAAATCCCCATTCCCTCCCCACTCCTGGGGAAGGATATTGCAAAATCTCCATTCCCACCCCACTCTGGGGCCAGCCCGAGGTGGTGTTTGCTGGTTCTCGGAACTACTCAAAATTTCCGCTACCGGTTCTCCAGAACCCGTCAGAACCTGCTGGATTTCACCCCTGGTATGACTCTTTGCTAGCATTGATAAACTTGTGTTGTTGTTGTTTCCTGTTTGTTCTACGTGGACAGCATTTCATCACTGAATCCACAGAGAACCAAATTTGGCACATAATGGTATGCAAATCCTTCGCTCCCTAAAAATAGAAACCAAACTATAATGTGATTTGTATGTTCTTGCTTAGAATGACCCATAAAGGAGATGGAAATAAACCATAGTTTTAGGGAGCAAATCACAATGTGCGAATGACTGGATGATTGCAGCTATGTGTGTGGTAGAAAAAGACACACATAAATTTGTCTGCAGCTTCCTGACTTATTCCTGGTTTATTCTGATACCCAACGTTTTTAACGGTATTATGAAGACGCATAGCAACAGCAGATTAAAAAAAGAAATAAGAATACAGATCAGAATTTGCGCGAATCTTTTTCTTATTTGTCAGACTGGGTTTCTTTTATATGCAGTGTGAGCTTTCAGTCAATGTTGACTCTTGGCAGCTCCCTAGACAAGTCTAAGCGGCTCTTCTACGAGGTTATTTAATAACTTACAGTTAAAACAAACTCTGTATTAACATGCTGTTAATGGGGACCCAGCCTTAAGTGGAAGTATTGAGAAGAGATGCCTATTTCCTTTGAGGTTATTTATTTGATTATGAGTCATCTTTGAAGAGGTTCTCAACAGATATATATATGTTTGGTGGGCAAGGCAGGGGAAGGATACTGCAAAATCTACATTCCCACCCCACTCCTGGGGGAAGGATATTGCAAAATCTCCATTCTCACCTCCACCCCACTCCAGGGGAAGGATCCTGCAAAATCCCCATTCCCTCCCCATTCCTGGGGGAAGGATATTGCAAAATCTCCATTCCCACTCCACTCTAGGGGAAGGATATTGCAAAATCTCCATTCCCACTCCACTCCAGGGGAAGGATATTGCAAAATCCCCATTCCCTCCCCATTCCTGGGGGAAGGATATTGCAAAATCTCCATTCCCACTCCACTCTAGGGGAAGGATATTGCAAAATCCCCATTCCCTCCCCACTCCTGGGGGAAAGGATATTGCAAAATCTCCATTCTCACCCCACTCCAGGGGAAGGATCCTGCAAAATCCCCATTCCCTCCCCACTCCTGGGGGAAGGATATTGCAAAATCTCCATTCCCACTCCACTCCAGGGGAAGGATATTGCAAAATCCCCATTCCCTCCCCACTCCTGGGGGAAAGGATATTGCAAAATCTCCATTCCCATCCCACTCCAGGGGAAGGATCCTGCAAAATCCCCATTCCCTCCCCATTCCTGGGGGAAGGATATTGCAAAATCTCCATTCCCACCCCACTCTGGGCCAGCCAGAGGTGGTATTTGCCAGTTCTCCGAACTGCTCAAAATTTCCGCTACCGGTTCTCCAGAACCTGTCAGAACCTGCTGGATTTCACCCCTGGTTGAGGAGCAGAAAGAACAACTACCTGTTTATAAAAACGACAGCAACAAAAACAGCAACAAAAACACTTAGCTCATGTCAGCCACTCTCGTAGACTGCATTCTTTACTGCAGGGTGAAATGTAAAATTTGTTACTACTGGTTCTGTGGGTGTGGCTTGGTGGGTGGTGGTGGTAATGTGACTGGGTGGGCATGGCCAACTTTTTTTAAAAAAAAACTTTTCAAAGCATTTTTCTAATTCTTTGAAAAGCCTCTGCCGATCAGGCAACTCAGCTGGGATTGTCAGAGAGGCTTTTAAAAAAATACCTCTCTGCCGATCAGGAAACTCAGCTGGGAGTTGCCAGAGACTTTTCAAAGCATTTTTTTTTACCACCTCTTCGGCCAAGAGGTTGCAGAAAAAAATGCTTTGAAAAGCCTCTGACGATCCCAGCTGAGCCACACGATCATCAGAGGCTTTTTTTTTTCTTTTAAAAGCATTTTTTCGTCGGAAGAGGTTGTAGGAAAAATGCTTTTAAAAAGTAAAAAAAAAAGCCTCTGATGATCGTGTGGCTCAGCTGGGCATGGTGGGGGGAGCGCAGGGATTTTTGCTACCAGTTCTCTCCAAACCACCCGCCGCCATCGCTACCGGATCGGACGATCCGGTCCGAACTGGGAGCATTTCACCCCTGCTTTACTGTTTTATAAGGGGTCCTTGGTCTCTGAGCTTAGTTGTTTTCCTGAAAACATTTCACTATCAGTACTAGAAAGGAGGAGGGTTTGTGGGGAGGAGGAAGAGGAGGACTGGAGGAGTGTGGTGTCCTTGGTGCTCTCTGAGCTCGGTTGTTTCCTTGCAGGCATTTCATTATCCAACTAGGTTACATCATCAGTACTAGAAGGGAGTGGGGTTTGTGGGGGGGCGAGGAGGACTGTGGGGTCCTTGGTGCTCTCTGAGCTTGGTTGTTTTCTTGCAGATATTTCATTACTCAACTAGGTAACATTATCAGTGCTTAGTTTATTTACCTAAAGTCCAATCTGTATGTATGTTAGTATTCTTAGCACTGATGATGTTACCTAGTTGGGTAATGAAATGTCTGCAAGAAAATAACCAAGCTCAAGAGCACCAAAGACCTCACAGTTCTCCCTCCTCTTCCTCCTCCTCTTCCTCCTCCCTTCTAGCTCTGCTGATGTTACCTAGTTGGGTAATAATAATAATATAATAATAATAATAATAATAATAATAATAATAATAAATTATTAATAGTAATAGTAATAATAGTAATAGCTACCTCGCTATTTAGAAATTCTAAATTTGCCAGACTTGAACATTTTGACTCTACAAAAAAACACCTTACTCGGAACAGCTTACATCCTCCGACAATACCTTAACAGTTCCTAGGTCCTTGGTTAGGACTCGAGCTGCTGAGCTATTAACCAGCCTCAAAGGAGCCTTGGTAGTACAGTGGTTTAATGCACCCTGTTATTAAGACCAGCTGCCTGCAATTACTGCAGGTTCGAATCTTACCAGGTTCAAGGTTGACTCAGCCTTCCATCCTTTCTAAGGTAGGTTAAATGAGGACCCAGTTTGTGGGGGCAATAAGCTGACTTTGTATAAATATACAAAAGGATGAAGGCTATTGCTTAACGCATTGTAAGCCATCCTGAGTCTCCGGAAAAGGGCGGCATATAAATCAAATTTTTTTTAAAAAAAGGCTGTGAATCTCACTAAAGATTAACCAATAATAATAATTTTATTTATATACCACCCATTCTCCCAAAGGACTCAGGGCGGTGTACAGCCAGAATTAAAATACAAATATACAAATATACAATATCCTAGTTAAAATTAATTAAAATCATTAAATAGTTTTGGCCGAATTTTAAAACCCAAAATTAAAACCCAATTTAAAATCATTCAATTTGACAGCCCGCCCCTGTCGGAACAGTAGGGTCTTGAGGGCACAGCGAAAAACCCGGAGGTCAGAGATTTACGAATATCCGGAGGCAATTCATTCCAGAGGGCAGGAGCTCCCACAGAGAAGGCCCTCCCTGGGTGTCGCCAGCCGACATAACTTGGCCGACGGCACCCTGAGGAGTCCCTCTCTGTGGGAGCGAACTGGTCGGTGGGAGGCTGTTGGTGGCAGAAGGCGGTCCCGTAGATATCCTGGTAAAGAAACATCTGCAAGAAAACCGCCAAATTCAGAGAGCATCAAAGACTCCACAGTTCAACCTCGAGCTACAATATTCCCTTTTATTGATCCTTACTATGTCATTTTTATAAGAGAGCACTAATGAATACCAGGGGTGAAATGCTCCCGGTTTGGACCGGCTCGGGCGAGTAGCTAGCGATGACGGCGGGCAGTTCGGAGAACCAAACCGAATCTTCGAGACCGCCTGCTGCTACAGACGACCTCCCACCGACCTGTGCGCTCCCACAGAACGATGTCGCTGGCGACCCCCAGGGGGAGGGCCTTCTCTGTGGGGGCACCTACCCTCTGGAATCAGCTGCCCCCGGAGATAAGGAGGATCCAAGACCTTGGTGCCTTCCGCCGTGCCCTTAAAACTTTCTTTTTTCAGCAAGCCGGGCTGGCTTAACGTATTTTTTAATATTTTTTAATTTTTAATTGGTCTGTTATCTTAAATTGGGGCCAAATTAATATATATCCTTCTAACTTTTTAATGTTTACATTGTATGTTTTTATCTGGCTGTACACCGCCCTGAGTCCCTCGGGAGAAGGTGCGGTATATAAATTCGAGATAAAATAAAAAAAATAAAAATAAAACCGGTAGCAAAAATCCCTGCCCCTGCTCCCCCATGCCCAGCTGAGCCTCCCGATCATCAGAGCCTTTTTTTTTTCTTTTAAATGGCTCTGACGAGCCAAGCTCTGACAATCCCAGCTGAGTTGCCTGCCGATCAGGCAACTCAGCTGGGATTATCAGAGCCTTTTGAAAGCATTTTTTTTACATGGTTTTACATGTAAAAAATGGTTTTAAAAATAATAAAAAATTGGCCACGCCCACCCAGTCACATTACCCCCCAAGCCACACCCACAGAACCAGTAGTAACAAATTTTAGATTTCACCCCTGATGAATACACATAATCAAAGGGGGTTGGACAGATTCATGGACTGATGGCTGTACAAAATTCCCAAAGGCAAAAGCACCATAAAAACAAGTTGCTTAAGAGCAACGACGAAAAAGATGACGGCATTCCGATCGCCCAATACAGACAGCCCTGGACTTATGACCACAATTGAGCCCAAAATTTCCATCGCTAAGCAAGACAGTTGTTAAGTGCACCGTGGCCCATTTTAAGCCGCCCTTTTTTTTTTTTTTGCCATGGATGTTAAGCAAATCATTGAAGTTGTTCTGAACTGAACGAAATGGACGGAAATGAACGGAAGAATCTTCTTGAATGAGAAATGATTAAAAACAACAACAAGGAAGTTCGATGGCCTTTTGGAAAAGCACCGTTGCGATATTTCCGCAACTTGCAATTGGTATTTTCCTTCCTTCCAGCATATTATGCAGGATATGATGAGCAAGCTCTTGCACGGAATGTATGAGAAAACATCCGATTAGAGACTTTCTCCATGTATTCCTTAGCCATCGTCTCTTTATTTTTAAATTTATTTATTAAATTTATTCACTAGGATTTATTGCCTAGGAACCCTAGGCAGTTTAGAACGTCAAAATAAAACTCTCTCTCTCTCTATGTGTGTGTGTGTGTGTGTGTGTAAAATCACAATAAAATTGCAATAAAAATACAGATTATGACTAATTGGGAGGAATGGAGCAGATTGTACGAGGGGTGCGGAAAAGGGAGCTGCAATCATTCTGTTTTACTATTTATTTATTTATTTATTTATTTATTTATTTATTTATTTATTTATTTATTAGTTTAATTTATATGCCGCCTTTCTCCGGAGACTCAGGGCGGCTTACAATACATTTAAAAAAAACCATCATAAAAACATTTAAAAATTAAAATATTAAAACCCATTCATACCATTCATGGCCAGATCTCACAAGATCGCAACAGTGAGATCAACGGCCCCAGGCCTGCCGGAAAAGCCAGGTCTTCACTGCTTTTCGGAAGGCCAATAGGGTGGGGGTGGTCCAGACCTCAGGAGGTAACTAGTTCCAGAGAACTGGGGCAGCCACAGAGAAGACCCTCCCCCGCGGGCCCACCAGCCGGCATTGTTTAGCTGACGGGACCCAGAGGAAACCGACTCTGTGGGATCTTACCGGTCGCTGGGAGCTACGTGGTAGAAGGCGGTCTCAAAGATATCCTGGCCCTGAGCCATGTAGGGCTTTAAAGGTAATAACCAACACCTTGAATTGTGCCCGGAGACCAATAGGGAGCCAGTGCAGCTCGCGGAGAATTGGTGTAATGTGGGTGTATCTAGGTGCACCCATGACAGCTCGCGCGGCTGCATTCTGGACCAACTGTAGTCTCCAAACACTTTTCAAGGGTAGCCCCTTGAAATTGTACTTTAACCATATTAAACTTGGCTAGATATGATAAGATTAATGTTCATATAAATAGAATAGAATAGAATAGAATAGAATAGAATAGAATAGAATAGAATAGAATAGAATAGAATAGAATAGAATAGAATAGGAGTTGCAAGGGACCTTGGAGATCTTCTAGTCCAACCCCCTGCTTAGGCAGGAAACCCTACACCACTTCAGACAAATGGTTATCCAACAGCTTCTTAAAAACTTCCAGTGTTACAGCATTCACAACTTCTGGAGTCAAGTTGTTCCACTGATTAATTGTTCTCACTGTCAGGAAATTTCTCCTTAGCTCTAGGTTGAATCTCTCTTTGGTTAGCTTCCACCCATTGCTTCTTGTCCTGCCCTCAGGTGCTTTGGAAAATAGCTTTTCTCCCTCTTCTTTGTGGCAGCCCCTGAGATATTGGAGTGCCTGGAGTTGTTGTTTTTTTCCCCTGATCCTTTCCTCCCTCCTTCTCTTCCTTAGTTTTGAGCCTTTTAATATCTTTTCACCCTTCTCCAGTCTATTCGTACAAAGTCTCTGTTTTCACGGGTGATATTTACGGCGCCGGAACAGATGCGAATGTGTTCCTAACCATCTACGGAGACTTGGGCGACACCGGTGAGAGAAAACTAAGGAAGTCTGAAACAAATACTAACAAGTTTGAAAGAGGACAGGTACTGGGGAAATGGTCTTCTTTTCCTGGCTGCAGTGCTGGTTTCCAAACAGTGTCGTTAATTCCTGCATTTTACATCTCACTTTTCTTTCAGGATTTTTAAGTGTCAGGGTAGTGATTTAAGAGCTGACCAGCTGCTATGATGATGCAGTAATGCAATGATGGGAATGAGTCAGCAAGGTTTTTTGCTGTTATCCCTTTAAGAGCCTATATAATAAGAAGAGGCCCTGTTAGGGCATCTCTCTCTTGCCGTATGTTCTTCCCTGCTGTAATTTACTGATTGTTTGACTTCTGCCTATAGTACATGTATGTATAATATATATTCTCTTGCAGATAAAAACCACTATTTATCACAAACCTCTGTTTGCTGTTATTGCTCCTGGGTTGTCTCACATAGTAAAGCTGTACTCACTCTGACATTAAGGTATCCTATGTAGAATTCCCTCCTCCAGGTTAAACAACCACCTGAGGGGTGAAGGTTGTGCTTAAGGGACTTTGAATGGTCCAAAGTCACCCAGTAAGTTTCCATTGCTGATGATGGATTTGAACCCAAGTCTCCCTGAGAGGAGAAATGCCCAATCTTCTTTCAACGTGGGTTTTGCTCACGTTGAACCTGGGCGAAAGCCCCCCTGGTCACGGCCATAAGATGGTCTTCCAAAGACAGCTGGGAATCCAGGAGGACACTTAAGTTGCAGGCCCTCTCAATGGGAGGAAGCACTTCCCCCCCCCCATCGAAAGTGAAGGGACTTCTAGAACATGAGACGCTGGCATCCATAGCCACTCAGTCTTGGAGGGGTTGAGTCTTAGCCTGTTCCTACCTATCCAGGCCCGTACCGCCTCCAGGCAGCGGGACATCATGGAAAGGGCATCCCCGGGGTGGCCCAGGGTGGAGATATATAACTGAGTATCATCAGCATATTGATGATACTGTCAGGTTTTGATGCCATCTCAAATAAATTGCTCTCCCAAACAATTAATCTTTGCTGAAGTATTCCATTTATTGAGTATGACAGATCTGGCCCTGACTTCGTCATAGCCAATACTAACCCTCTGACCCCCCAAACGCTTCTCTTTCCATTCCCCAATTCTCATCTTCTCATTGGCCATCTTCCAAGTCAGTCTCCCTAGCTTCTGACCTCAACCCACAGGAATGCCCCCCCCATCCCATCTCCTAGGGGATATTATCTACAGAGAAAATAAGTAGGTGAAAAGTCAAGCCTCGTCTCCTCCTTTTTATGGCAGCATCAGAATGCTGACAGATACCTCACCCCGAAACCACGAATGATCTCACCCAGCGGCTTCATATAGATGTTAAAGAGTAGAGGGGAGAGAACTGACCCCTGAGGCACCCCACAGGTTAGGGGCCTTGGGGTGGACCTCTGCCACCCCACCCATACAAACTGTGAATGACCTGAGAGGTAGGAGGAGAACCACTGTAAAACAGTGCCTCCTACCCCAAGTCGTTGCAGTGAGATACTATGGTTGATGGTATCGAAAGCCGCTGAGAGGTCAAGTAGGACCAGGATGGAGGAACAACCTCCATCCTGGGCCCGCCAGAGATCATTCACCAGAGCGACCAATGCCGTTTCCGTGCTGAATAAACAGAGCTCCGAGGTAAGAATTGGTTCCTCAAATAATTGGTTTATTGGATATATCATATTGGCATAAGCTGGTGAAAACTGACTCTGAATATTCCCGCGGTTAATTAAAAGTAAAAGTTCCTCCCTTTTCCCTAGCAGTCGGTCACACGGTCCAATCAAGGTCCCATCCAGTTGTCAGGCGACATTGCTCCTCCTCTCCCCGGCCACCTGTGGGAATGTCCTTGGTTCCCAGGAGAAAGTATTTTGTTTCGACTCCAAGCCCCCTCTATCTCTATTCCCCTCTCCCTATCCCTCAGCTCCGGTGTGGCAACACCGAAGCCTCAAAATGGCCTCCGTCAGATCAGCTTCAGGGTTGACAAGAGGGTTGGGTTAGAAGACCTCCAAGCTCCCTTCCAACTCTGTCGTTCTGTTTGTATAGCTAATGCTCTTTTAAAGACCAACCAAGAATTTATCTTCCATCTCCCACAGGAAGACATCTTCACAATGGAAGCTGTCGACCTTGGAACCATCTGTAAAATCAAGATACGCCACGACAACACTCTGCCAAGGCCAGATTGGTACTTGGAGAAAGTTGAGGTCCTGAACGATGCCACCGACAGTGTCTACCTATTTGAGTGTGAACGTTGGCTGTCAAGGAAAAAGGAAGATCTGAGCATTGAGCGAATCCTTTGGGAAAAAGTAAACCTTGATATTAAAAGGCTTTCTACCTTTCCTAAATTTTAGAGGGAGAGAAGAACACAATTTTTTTCCAGAGAGTCAAAGGTAGATTAAAAGAGAGATGGATTGTCACAAAGAGGAGGGGGGAGGGGTCAAATTATTCTCCAAAGCACCAGAGGGCAGGACAAGAAACAATGGTTGGAAACTAATCAAGGAGAGAAGCAACCTGGAATTAAGGAGAAACTTCCTAACAGTGAGAACAATTAACCAGTGGAACAACTTGCCTTCAGAAGTTGTGAGTGCTTCACCACTGGAGGTTTTTAAGAAGAGACAGGATAGTCACTTGTCTGAAATGGTATAGGGACTCCTGCTTGAGCAGGGGGTTGGACTAGAACAGGGGTCGGCAACCTTAAACCCTCAAAGAGCCACAAAGGTCCTAACCAGAAGCCCCCCGTTCAATTCTGGAGCTGACCGGAAGTCTTCCTAGTGCGGTGTCTCCTCCTAGTGCGGTGTCCTTTTTCCTCTACCTGTCCTAACCAAAAGCCCTATCAATTGTGGAGCCAACTGGAAATTCCCGCCTCTTGCCATAGAGTCTCCTCCTGGCACGCCATGCTTCCCCCCCCCCAACTGGAAACTCCTCTCAAAATTGTGGTGCCGACCAGCAACATGGAGCTGCAGCAGAGGGATGAAAGAGCCACATGTGGCTCCAGAGCTGCAGATTACCGACCTCTGAACTAGAAGAACTCAAAGATCCCTTCCATGTCTATTTTGATTGATTGAAGGGTTCTTAGAAAATGAAGATAAATTGGGTGCGTTAAGCTGTGGGAAAGCTTCAATACTTAATAAATGATTATAAAGTATTGGAGAGAATACAGAATAACAGAGTTGGAAGGGACCTTGGAGCTCTTCTAGTCCTACCCCCTACTCAAGCAGGAGACCCTGTACCAGTGTTGGCAAACCTTTTCGGCATCAAGTGCTGAAACGGGAGTGCGAGCACATGCGCGGGGGAGCACCGGAAACCGGAAGAGCACCTCTCAGGCGCACACCTGCAGGAGCACCGGATACCGGAAGAGCAATTCCTCGGTGTGCATGTGTGCACCAGGAAGCTGAGGTTCCGTGTTTCCGGAGCGCACATGGATGCCGGTCACTTGGTCTTCCGGTTTCTGGCGTGTGCATCGAAGATCAGCTAGCCGGCACACATGTGCGTGCTGGAACCCGGAAGAGCAACAAGTTACAGCTGGCATGCCCCGAGAGATGGCTCTGCGTTCCACTTCCAGCATGCATGCCATAGGTTCACCATCATGGCCCTATAACCATTTCAGTCAAAAAAGGAGGACCTAAGCATTGAGCGAATCTTTTGGGAAAAAGCAAATCTTGATATTAAAAGGCTTTCCGGCTTTCCTAAATTTTAGAGGAAGAGAAGAAACATATTTTTTTTCCCCAGAGAATCAAAGGTAGATTAAAAGAGAGATGAGCATTCATGGTGGAATCATTTACACAAGATACTATGGTAAGCTATGGTAATCAGCTGTAAGTGTGTGGTTAGAATTTGTTGTGGCCCGTCGGCTGCCAGCAGAGCTAGCAGACGAGTCAGACGAGGAGGAGGTTGAGGGAGAGCCTGGGAGAGCCAACTACGGAGCCTTTGGAAGGGTTAGTTAGTTAGTTTACTTTATTGTCACTGCACCTCGTACAATGAAATTAAATGCCATCTTCAGTGTCCATCATATATAAGACAGAATCAGTCATTGCATTAAGTGGGGATAGCTTGTTGTGTGAACACAGCAACTATACTTCTTAGCCAGGATTTAGGATTTAGAATAATATGCAAACTCAGCCAATATGTAGCCAGGTAGCACAACTGGATGAAAAATCTATGAAATATTGCAGTACAGGTAGTCCTCAATGTATGATCACCACTGAGACGGACGTTTATTTTGCTAAGAGAGACATTTTTTAACATTTTATGACCTTTCTGGCCAAAGTTGTAAAATGAATCGCTGCAGATGTTAAACTAGTAACATGGCTGTTAAGTGAATCTGGCTTCCCCATTGACTTTGCTTCTCAGAAGGTCGCAATGGGACACTCCAACTGTCCTAAGTATGAGTCAGTTGCCAAGCGATTGAATTTTGATCACATGACCATGGGGATGCTGCAACCGTCATAAATCACCTTTTTTCAGTGCCATTGTAACTTCAAAAGGTTATTAAATGAACTGTTACAAATCGAGGACTATCTGGCTTTAGAAGCTTCAAGAGATTCACAGAAGTACCAATCTTGAAGTTTTCTTGGTTCTGATCAACCAGCTGGATCTATTTTGTTATAACCCAGAGCCAGGGAATTTTATCTTCTTATTTTTGGCAATTAATCTCAACATCTGTTAAAAATAATCTTTGAAGGACCCTTTCTCGTCTGGTAAAAATACAGCTGCAGCTAAGTTCTGGGTTTCTGATGCAAGCAGGCTTGCGATAGAGAAAAACATATGGGAAGTCAGATATTTCGCAAACGATGTACTTTTGACTCTCTTGAAAAATTGTATTTTTATCTTCAGCCTATCAGTCCTTCAGTGGGGTCCCAGGGAAAATGAAATTTAAGACATGGCGCTTTTGATGGAGCACTTGAGTTTCCGGAATGGAAGGAGAAGCCGTTCTGGTTTGGAAAAGCAAGTTTATATCAAAAATCAAAGTCACCTTCTTGGATATAATTAAGGTTGAAAAGAGAGAAGAAAATCATGTCCCTTAAAGGCATTTCCCCCCCCCCCCCTTTTTTTTTGAAGTGGAGGGGAGTGGGGACAACTTGAGGCCTATCAACATCAAGAGTGCATGTTGTACTATGTGCCAAATTTGATGTTTGTTTGTTTATTTATTTTAAACTTTATTGAGGGGTAGGGGGAAACAGGGAGATAATGGCATACGTCAAGCAAAAAGCCAGCTTCAGTTTAACAGAATAACAGAGTTAGAAGCAGGTGTGGGATTTAGCCGGTTCGGTAGCTCCGATGATCAGCTGAGAGTGAACCGGTTTGCTCCGACGATCAGCTGGGCCCGCCCACCCGCTCCTGAGCTATACCGACCTATATTTCCTTTGTTTGAAGCCCAGCTGATCGGCGCGGCAGAGCGGATTGCTGCGGCTCAGCTGTTTTTACTCACTGGGGCTGCAGTAGAAGGTACGTTTTGGTGCTGTTTACAAGCCCACTGCACATGCAAAGCACGTGGTCAGCGAACCGGTTGTTACACCAATTGAATCCCACCACTGGTTAGAAGGGACCTTGGAGGTCTTGTAGTCCAACCCCCTGCTTAAGTAGGAGATCGTACACCCGTGATGGCGAACCTATGGCACGCGTGCCACCTGTGGCACATAGAGCCATATCTGTGGGCATGTGAGAGTTGCCCTAGCTCAGCTCCAGCGCGCCAGCTGATTTTCTAGCCTTCCGGGCCCACCGGAAGTTGGGAAATGGGCCATTTCCAGCCTCCGGGGGTAGTGGGAAAGGCTGTTTTCGCCCTCCCCGGGCTCCAAGAAAGGCCCTGGAGCCTGGGGAGGGCAAAAAAATGGGCCTACCGGGGCCACAGTGCCATTGCGTGCCAAAAGAAGGGGGGGTGCAGGGGTCGCACGTTCATGCGGGACACATTGAATTATGGGTGGGGCACGCATGCACACGACCCCCCGCACTCCCCCCGCTTTTGGCACACGACGGCAACAAGGTTAGCCATCGCTGCCCTACACCATGCCAGACAAGTAGCTGTCCTCTCTTCTTAAAAGCCTTCAATGATGGAGCACCCACAACTTCTGGAGGCAAGCGGTTCCACTGATTGATTGTTTTAACTGCCAGGAAATTTCTCCTTAGTTCTAGGCTGCTTCTTTTATTTATTTTATTTATTTATTTTTATATGCCGCCCTTCTCCGGAGACTCAGGGCGGCTTACAATGTGTTAAGCAATAGCCTTCATACTTTTGTATATTTTATACAAAGTCAGCTTATTGCCCCCACAAACCGGGTCCTCATTTTACCCACCTTAGAAAGGATGGAAGGCTGAGTCGACCTTGAGCCTGGTGAGAATTGAACTCGCAGTAATTGCAGGCAGCTGGATGTTAAATGCTGCCTTAGTAGGAGGCATTAGCCTCCTACGCCACTCAGGCTCCTGTTCTCCTCTTGGTTAGTTTCCATCCATTGTGTCTTGCCTTGCCTTCTGATTTGCTTTGGAAAATAGGCTTCTACATGGGCCTTAGAAAATAAAATTATTCGCTGCCTGCAGCCCTATGCTTATATCTGCATCTGTGTCCATATTAGTTCTACCTATCTGTTCGTTGGCTCAAAAACTGAGCTACTAAAATTAGAAGCATCCTGGAATTAAGGAGAAACTTCCTAACAGTTAGGACAATTAACCACTGGAACAGCTTCCCTTCAGAAGTTGTGGGTGCTTCATCACTGGAGCTTTTTAAGAAAAGACTTCATTGTTAAGTTAAAGATTAATTGTCCTCCCTGTTAGGAAGTTTCTCCTTAATTCCAAGTTGCTTCTCTCCTTGATTAGTTTCCATCCATTGCTTCTTGTCCTGCCCTCAGATGCTTTGGAAATTGGCCCCCTCCTCTTTGTGGCAGCCGCTCAAATACTCAAATGCTGGAATACTGCTATCATGTCTCCCCAAGTCCTTCTTTTCTCTAGACTAGCCAAATCCTGCAACTATTCTGATGAAGCTTAATTAACTTCCTCCCCTTTTAAAGGCAATGAATAATTGCAACTCAGTAAGCCAGCTCCCACTGGATTCTTCTCAGATACTGGTATTAAATACAACACCACCTGACTTGTCTCTGAAGTCTTCCAATTTGCCCCTATGTTAATATACACGTGTTTCCCTGTTAATGTGCAATTAAAACATTACTTTGCCTTATAAAATAAATCCTTGCAAATCGACCCATTTTTCTCAACTGCCATACAGAGTTTTCCCGGGCAAAAGGCTGAATGTTGCCTATTAATTTTGAGCCTGTTAATTAATCCACATATTGTATTTTGCATTCCAGTTAGCTCTTCTTTTTTTTTTTTTCTTTTTCCCCTGGTTGGGGATTCCAAAAGCTTGTTTTTTTCACTCCTGCATGTGATGGGAAGGAATTGGAAACAGGACATTTGTCACAGAATGGATGGAGTCGTGGAGTGACAGGAAACAGGACATTTTTCACGGAAGAAAGATTTAAGATTGCAGGAGGAGGCCGAGCAGCAAAGCTGCAGAGGGGTTGTGTCTGGTTAGAGAGTGGTGCTAAAATGCTGGTTTTAATTTTGTTTTATGTTGAACCGTGAAGCGGTTCAATGGAGCTGAACTGGGTGGAATCAGGTGGTATATCAGTGATTAATTTATTAAGGGTAGTGCCCAAAATCACTACTTTGAATAGAAAGGTAAGGTATTGGTCAGGGGTCTGCAACCTTAAACACTCAAAGAGCCATTTGGACCCGTTTCCCACAGAAAAGAAAACACCAGGAGCCACAAAACCTGGGTGGGTGTGGCCAACTCAATGTCACTCACTTCTACCAGTCACATGACACCCCCCTAGCCACGCCTACCCAGCCGGTCATTAGGGCAGAGAACCAGTTGTTAAAAAACACCGGGAACCACAAAACCCTTTTGACATCTCTCTCACCCTCCCTTCCCCCTCTCTCCCTACCTCTCTCTCTGTATCTCTCTGTCTCTGCCCCGGCCACTTCTCCATTATCCGCCATCGCCCTTACCTTCTCAGGCCAGGTGAGAAGTGACTGGGAGGGGAGGGCGAGGGCTGGGGCCAGCCAGTGGTGGGATCACCCGACGGAGCCACAGCAGAGGTCCCAAAGCATGCGGCTCCGGAGCCACAGATTGCTGACACCTGTTCTTGGTCAATCAGGTGCTCGAACAAATAGAAAGTACCTAGTTGTTACATTTGGAATTAGAATATAGAACTTGTAGAGTTTGTTTTCCTTTGAAGACGTTTTGCTGCTCATCCACTTCTGCAGCTTCTTGGATGAGAAGCGAAACATTTTTAGAGAAAAACAAGGAAGTCCACTTGCCTCTTGAAAAAGCACCTTTGGGACAACCGTGGTCCAGATGAACGAGAATCTCCATAGGCATAGAACATATGATGACAGAGTTGGGAGTGACCTTGGTAGTCTTCTAATCCAACCTCCTGCTCAAATAGGAAACCCTATACCAGTGACGGCTAACCTTTTTGCCATCGCGTGCCAGGAGAGGGGGGGCGGGGGGAGGGTCGCGCATGCACGTGCCCACGCGCATGCACACGCAACCCCACCCACCCTCGCTCCTGGCACATGATAGCCTGGTAGGCCCATTTTTCTTTCTTACCTGATTCCAGATCCTTTCTATGCATCTGGGAAGGTCGAAAACAGCCTTTCCCACTCCCTCGGAGGCCCAACGGAGGCTGAAAAGGCCCATTTCCCAACTCTCGGTGGGACAGAAAGTGATGTTTTTGCTGTCCCCAGCCTCCAGAACCTCTCTAGGAGTCTGTACGAGCCTCTCTAGGAGTCTGTAGGAGCTTCTCTAGGAGTCTCTGGAGGCTGGGGACAGGAAAAAAGTCACTCCCTGTCCCACCGGGAGTAGGGAAATGGGCCCTTTCAGCCTCCATAGGGCCTCCGAGGGAGTGGGAAAGGCTGTTTTCGCCCTTCCCAGATCCATAGAAAGGATCTGGAGCCAGGTAAGAAAGAAAAACGGGCCTTCCCCACCCCCCACCAGGCCCTCCAAAGGCAGGAAACAGCCTGTTTCCCTACTTCTGGTGGGCCCAGAAGGCCCGAAAATCAGCTGTCCGGTGCGCACATGCGCCCCAGAGCTGAGCTGGCGTGCCCACTAATATGGCTCCGCGTGCTACCATTGGTTCGCCATCACGGCCCTATACCATTTCAGACAAATGGTTGTTCAGTCTCTTTTTGAAAGCCTTCAGAGATGGAGCACCCATCACAACTTCTGAAGTCAAGCTGTTCCATTGGTTGATGGTTCTCACCTTTAGGAAATTTCTCCTTAGTTCTAGGGTGCTTCTCTCTTGGGTTAGTTTCCACCCTTCCATCTTCTTAAAAACTTCCAGTGTTGGAGCATTCGCAACTTCTGAAGGGAAGTTGTTCCACTGATTAATTGTTCTAACTGTCAGGAAATTTCTCCTTAGTTCTAGGTTGCTTCTCTCCATGATTAGTTTCCACCCATTGCTTCTTGTCCTGCCCTCAGGTGCTTTGGAGAATAGCTTGACTTCCTCTTCTTTGTGGCAGCCCCTGAGATATTGGAAGACCCCTATCATGTCTCCCCTAATCCTTCTTTTCATTAAATATTCTTTTCATTAAACATTAAAATTGTTTAAGGTCACTTTGTAAGCCTGTGGCCGAACGAGATTTTGAAAAAGAAATTCCTTCCAGTCCCAAAAAATAAATTCAGCAATAAAATATTCTTCGGAGGTGGGAAATATCTCCTGATTCAGGAAGAAAACAGGGGCAAGTATTAGTGTTCCTTCATGTATTTGTGCTGTCTTATTAGAACTATGATCCTGGCTGCCTGAGCGTAGGAAATGCATCCCTGAACCAAGACGACAACGCCAATCTAAAGGACAAGAAGACCAACAGCTCTGCGCTCGATGGGTCACGTAAGAAAGTAATACCGTGTGGAGAAAGCAGGATATAAGATCGTTCCAGGCTTGTACCCAGATTCAGCAAAACCACTCTCTTCAGGAGTTCAAAAATTTTAGCAAGGGGTTCCCTACCCGATTGTTGGGTGGGTGTGGCCATGGTGGGTGTGGCCTAGTCGGCCTCTTGCACCATGGCGGGCGGGGTGGTGGTTTTCCCTCCTCGTGCTTCGGAGGCTTTTCTCGAGCCTCCGGGAGGGTGAAAATGGCCGCCTCAGGCTCCGGAGGCCCTCTGGAGGCCAGAAACGAGCCTGTTTCCGGCCTTCCTGAACTTCTGGTAGGCCCGTTTTCGCCCTCCCTGAGCCTCCACGTGCACCCTGCACTTACCTGTATGCAAAACAGGACATGTGGGGACTCCTGGGAGGGGCGGGGTGGGTGGGGCCAGTCAGGAGTGGGATTTTGGGGTTTCCCAAACTGCACATAATCTTAGCTAGAGGTTCTCCCCTGTGAACCCCCAGAACCCCTGTCTCTATTGTATCTTACTGAAGTTATGGATCTATGTCTAGATCAGATTTTTTTAAAAACTTGGCATGCTGGCTGGAGGATTCTAAGAGTTGAAGTCCACACATCTTAAACTTTCTTGTTTTCCTTTGAAGACGTTTTGCTTCTCATCCAAGGAAATTCTTCAGCTCTGACTGGATGGTGGGGAATGGAAGGATTTATACTCCTTGCAGTCAGCTGCACATTTGCATTATTTTTAGAGAGTCATTGAGGCCACCTGGAGGTTTGTCTGTGTCGTCAGGGTCACCTGAGTGGTGCAAATGGGTGTGGAGCTGTCAGCACTGAAGTGATATGTCCTAATAAATTGTTCTTTGGGGAATTTGCCTCCCTCGGAGTTCTCTTTGCTATAGGTGTATTATTTGGAACCCTGACAGGAGCTTTCTTAGAACTGCTGAAAGGACTGTGTTGTAGACTGGAGATAGGTGGTGTCGCATCCCCCCCCCCTTTGTTGAGAGGGCTGTTCAATTTCAACATAGATGGCCTCTTTAACCCCTCTTTCAAACCAGCGATCCTCTCTCTCCAAAATATGGACAAAGTTCCAAGAAGGCTCCACACCCATTTGCACCACTCAGGTGACCCTGAGGACACAGATCAACCTCCAAGTGGTCTCAACAACTCTCTTTAAAAAATGCAAATGACCAGCTGAGTGCAAGGAGTTTAAATCCTTCCATTCCCCACCATCCAGTCAGAGCTGAAGAAGCTTCATAGATGAGAAGCAAAACAACTTCAAAGAAAAAAAAACAGAAAGTCCAGTTGCCTCATGAAAAAGCACCTTTGGGATAACTATGACCTGGATGACTGAGAATCTCCATAGACACACATTTTAAAGTTGCCAAGTTTATAAAAACACTGATCTAGACTGTTTCACACACATTTTAGTAGGTCTTTGACAATTCGCCACGGCCAGCTCACCATGGCCAACTCACCACGGTCAACTCACCACGGCCAACTTGCTTCAGTCAACTCACTATGGCCAACTGGCCTCAGCCAACTCGCCATGGCCAACTCACCATGGCCAACTGGCCTCAGCCAACTCACCATGGCCAACTGGCCTCAGCCAACTCACTATGGCCAACTTGCTTCAGTCAACTCACCATGGCCAACTGGCCTCAGCCAACTCACCACGGCCATCTGGCCTCAGCCAACTCACCATGGCACCATGGCCAACTTGCTTCAGTCAACTCACCATGGCCAACTGGCCTCAGCCAACTCACCATGGCCAACTGGCCTCAGCCAACTTGCAATGGCCAATTTGCCATGGGACACCTCGCTGTGGGACAAGAGTTATACTTAATATAGAAGAAATGGTGGAATAGAATCATTAAAGAAATATGCAAAAGGAGAGACAAAATGAAACATGAATGACAAAAATTAAAATATTTTTAAATTTTATTTTAAGTAATTACATTTAACAATTAAATTTACATAATTTACAATTACAATTTACAATTAAAATAACATTGTTAAATTGTTCGGTGGAGAGTTGTCCTGCAGCCAGTTGACCGTAGCTAGTTGTCTCGTGGTGAATTGGCCATGGCAAATTGTCCCATTCTGATTTTAGTAGCTTCAGGCTATGCTAAACATGATTGGGGAGGACAAAGTCCCAGTAAATGCCAGAGGAACAAAACATGGGAAAGTCATACAGATAACAATATGGGGGCAGAACTGCGGTTTCCTGCCATTTTTGTTTGTTTCCTATGTTGGGATCAATCCTAACTGGAAGCTTTCAAGAAGAGACTGGGCTGCCGTCTGTCAAAAATGGTGTAGGGTCTCCTGCTTGGGCAGGGGATGGACTAAAAGACCTCCAAGGTCCCTTCCAACTCTGTTACTCTTATTCTATAGCTTTTGTCTGTGCTTTAACCATAGAACGGAAGGAAGCCATGCTACTAGCTTCCAGCAATTGTGGCTGCCAGAAGGTGCGCCAATGGTCTCGTACAGGTAGTCCTCGACTTACGACCACAATTGAGCCCAACATTTCCATTGCTAAGCAAGACAGTGGTTAAGTGAGCTCTGCCCCATTTTACGACCTTTCTCGCCACCGTGATTAAGTGAATCGCAGCAGTCCCTACGTTAGTAACATGGTTGTTAAGTGAATCTGGCTTCCCCATCGACTTTGCTCATGAGACAGTCACCAGAGGGGATCCCGTGACCCTGCAACCATCATAAAATATGAACCAGTTGCCAATTTTTTGATCACGTGACCACAGGGATGCTACAACGGTCGTAAGTGTGAAAAACGGTCCTCAGTCACTTTTGTCAGTGCTGTTGTAACTTGAAATGGGTCGCTCAATGAATGGTTGTAAGTTGAGGACTACCTCTACAACCTCGGGGCCTAACGTCCTTTACCCTAGTGTTAACTAGAGAGCAGGAATTAAAATGGAGACCTTGGTGAACTCTGTATCAATCTCATTTGCCTGATGTGACTGTCTTTCTTTTCAGTCATTCCTTACCACATCCTCCTGATTACTGGGAAAGAACACGACTCAAGCACCAGCAGCCGAGTTTTCATAATCATCATAGGTCCTCAGGAAAAGTCTACCGGCCACATGTGGCTCGATCTCACGGAAGGAAAGACCCAATTTGCGGAGTCTTCTGTGGAGAAATTCTCTGTTATGGGAGTAGACGTTGGCGAAGTCAGAAAAATTGAGGTATGCCGTAGGACTGACAAGTGAGGTCAGAAAGAGTGATCGGTTAATTCCTTAAGCTCAACTTTGCTTAAAAAGAGACGAAGAAATTGCAGGCCTCCATAAGTTGTGGGTGCTCTATCACTGGAGGTTTTTTTTTTAAAGTGAGTATGGTTTTTTTTGTTTCATTATTTGGTCGAGCAAGGGACACAGTGGGTAGCAGTGGTGGGATTCAGCCAGTTCAGGCCGATTCAGGCAAACCAGTAGATAAATTGCTGGCTGGCCCCTCCCCTCCCCTTCCAGGAGTCCCCACACACCCCATTTTGGCTCCCAGTAAGTGCAGGGAGGCCTACTAGGCCCAAAACGGGGCACGGGGTGTGTGGTGTGGGGTCCACCCGCAGCTTGTTTTTGCTCCCAGGAGGCTGCAGGGAGGCCTACTAGGCCCAAAATGGGGCACGGGGGGGCGGTACATCCCCCGCATGGCCTGTTTTTGCTTCCGGGGTGTGTGCAGGAGGCCGAGTGCTGCCTGTCACACCCCCTGGCCACGCCCACCATGGCTACGCGCACCCAGCCAGTCATTAGGGCAGAGAACCGGTTGTTAAATTATTTGAATCCCACCACTGGTGGGTAGGATATTGGTGCTGTGCAAGGGTGAAATCCAGCAGGTTCTGACAGGTTCTGACAGGTTCTGACAGGTTCTGGAGAACCGGTAGCGGAAATTTTGAGCAGTTCAGAGAACTGGTAGTGGAAATTTTGAGTAGTTTGGAGAACTGGAAAATACCACCTCTGGCTGGCCCCAGAGTGGGAAGGGAATGGAGATTTTGCAATATTCTTCCCCCAGGAGTGGGGAGGGAATGGGGATTTTGCAATATCCTTCCCCTGGAGTAGGGTGGGAATGGAGATTTTACAGTATCCCTCCCCTGCCATGCCCACCAAGCCACACCCACCAAGCCATGCCATGCACACAGAACTGGCAGTAAAAAAAATTGGATTTCACCACTGGTGCTATGGTATTACTAGAAGAGGCAGGATAGTCTCTGGGGAGATTGGGTTTTAGAGAAGATTCTAGAAAAAAATAATCAAGCAACAGAACTGCAAACACCTAGAAACAAGCAAAACTACAACTAGAAGCCAACATGGATTTGTCAAAAACAGATGATGCCAGAGGAAGCTATAAAGTGACTAAATTAATGGATCAGGGATATGGTGTGGACACTTGGACTTCAGTAAGGCATTCGATAAAGTAGACCACAGCCTATTTCTTGGTAAGACAGAAAAAATGTGGGATAGAGAGCATCACCATCAGATGGATTCGTAACTGGCTGACCAACCACACTCAGCATGCAGACATTAACCGGACTACATCTACGTGGAGGAAAGTAAACAATGGGGTACCCCAATGTTTTGCCTTAGACCCAGTACTCTTCAACATCTTCATCAAAGATTTGGATGAGGGGATAGATGGGGAACTCACCAAATCTGCAGATGACACTAAACTGGCAGGAATAGTCAACACTGCAGAAGGTAGGCTTAAAATACAGAAGGAACTTGACAGACTTGAACATTTGGTGCTATCTAACAAAATGAAATTCAATGGTGATAAAAGTAAGATTCTACATATAGGGGAACTCATCAAATTTCCACACGACCCCACAATTAATCAGTGGAACGGTTTGTCTCCAGAAGTTATGGGTACTCTTGTTGTGACCCGCTGGCGGCCAGTGGAGTCGGACAGTGGGGAGGTTGGGGAGGAACTTGGGCCAGTCCTGGGGGCTGGGGAAAGCTCAGACGTGGGCTCTGTGTTGGAGGCAGAGAGGGAGCTAGACAGCAGTGAGGCAGAGGAACAACTGGAGCCTGTTCCCAGTGTGTGCATGCGCAGAACTGCCAGAAGACAAGAACAACTAAGAAAGCAGGGTCGACTTAGGAGTAAAGCCACAGCTTGGAGGTGATTGGCCCCTCCCATAGGAAACAAAAGAGGAGCGAACGGGGAGGGGCCTTTTGCAATTTGTTCATTCGGTCGTTTCAAGAGTGGAAAGTTCTATTCGTGACTTTAAGAGACTCTGTGCCAAGTTTTGCCTTGCCCTGCATTTGGAAACTAGTTATCTGGCAGCTTTCCAAGCGAGATAAGGTCTGTGTTGATAAATATTCCTCTGAAAGACTGTTTGGACAAGCCTTGCTGACTGTAAATGAAAGTAATTCACAGTCGTGTAAATAAAAGGGGTTTTGCTGGGACCAAGACTCTGCTTCCTGCTTTTTAAGGGAGCTTAAGTCAGAACAACTCCAATACTGGAGGTGTTTAAGAAGAAACTGGACAGCCATTTGTTCAGAATGTTGTAGGACAGTGGCCCCCAATCTTTTTGGCACCAGGGACCAGTTTCATGGAAGACAATTTTTCCATGGATTGGGTGTGTGTGTGTGTCAGGGGTGGGTTCTAATTTTTTTTACTACCGGTTCTGTGGGCATGGCTTATTTTGTGGGTGTAGCTTGGAGGTCATGTGACTAGGTGGGCGTGGCTAGCTGGTCAGAGTCATTTCTGGAAGGTCCTCGCACTTACAACCCGACTCATTTGTTTGCTTTTAATACTGATCAGCTGTAGGGCGGCCCTTTGAAGACCCACGGCAAGAGTTTAAACAGGTTTTTTCCCTCTAGTCATCAGCTGGGACTCAGGAGGCAGCAATAGATTGGGGGTGGGACCAAATAAAAGGTAAGAATAACGTGGGTGGGGGGTGGGAGGGCGGGAATGGGAGAACCGGTTCGGTGACATCATATCGTCACCGCTACCAGCTCGGCCGAACTGGACCGAACCAGGAGAAACTCACCACTGGTGTGTGTGTGTGTGATCACACAACCTAAATCTTGTGCATGCTCTCCTGCCCTCCTGCCACTCAACTGTGCAGCCCAGTTCCTAACAGGCCACAGACTAGTGCAGTTCCAAAGCCTAGGTGTTGGAGACCCCTGGTGTAGGGCAGTGGTGGGTTGCTCCCGGTTCGCACTGGTTCGCAAGAACCGGTAGTAAAAATTTGTAGTAGTTCGGAGAACTGGTAATAACATTGGCTGGCCATGCACTCGAACCAGCTCCTGGCCTGGTCGCCGCTCGCTTACCCCCCCACCTCATCAGAGGCTTTTTTTTTAAATCTTTTAAAAGCATTTTTTCTACAACATCTTCGGCCAAAAAAATGCTTTTAAAAGTAAAAAAGAAAAGCCTCTGATGATCACGCGGCTCAGCTGGGATCGTCGGAGGCTTCTAAAAGCATTTTTTCCTGCAACCTCTTCGGACGAAGAGGTTGTAGGAAAAAAAATGCCTTTAAAAGCCTCTGGTGATTCCAGCTGAGTTGCCTGATCATCAGAGGCTTTTAAAAGCATTTTTTCCTGCAACCTCTTAAGGTTGTAGAAAAAATGCTTTTAAAAGTTAAAAAAAAAAAAGTTGACCACACCCACCCAGTCACATTACCACCCCCACAAGCCATGCCCACAAAATAAGCCACACCCACAGAAGCGGTAGTAAAAAAATTTAGAACCCACCCCTGGTGTAGGGGTGAACATTGGGGTTGAACATTGGGGTTGGACTAGAAGACCTCCAATTTCCTTCCAATTCTATTATTCTGTATTCTGCGAACACCCCAAAACGATCTAATCTGAACTGAAGTAACTCTTAAAGAGATCAGAAAGATAATCCTGAGGGATGCTATCCCAAATCAAATGGAGATTAGGGAAAGCCAGTTTCTGCTATAATTCAGTGTTTCTCAACTTGGCAGCTTTAAGATGTGCGGACTTCAAATCCCAGAATTCCCCAGCCAGCCAATTCTGGAAGTTGAAGTCCCCACAGAGTTGCCAAGATTGAGAATCACTGCTATAAACTATTTTTTTAAAAAAATTTGATTTATATGCCGCCCTTCTCCGGAGACTCAGGGCGGCTTACAATGCGTTAAGCAATAGCCTTCATACTTTTGTATATTTTATACAAAGTCAGCTTATTGCCCCCACAATCCGGGTCCTCATTTTACCTACTTCGGAAGGATGGAAGGCTGAGTCAACCTTGAGCCTGGTGAGATTTGAACTTGCAGTAATTGCAGGCAGCTGATGTTAATAACAGCGCTTTAGTCCACTGCGCTACCAGGGCTCTAAAGTCCTTTAATGGCCTTGTTGAAAATAATTTTGCTGCAGGTTTGTGTTTTGCATGAGGCACTGCTCCTTCCATCATTCTTTTTTCCATTTTCTTTCTTGTTGTTGTTTTGAAGGGGAAAAAAAGGGGACCTTTGACAAAAAAAATTCATAAATGGCCCACGGTGAGAAACACTTCATGTATAATTTTCTTGCTCAACATGGAAATTGTCTTCACAGCTTCTCTTGAGACACCTCTTACAGGAGGGCATTAATCATGGCTCATAAGCAATGTGCAGTGATCAGAAATCACAGGGCAGGAATATTTATGTAACAAAGGATTGAAAGGACATCCTTTACACAAACCGTCTCTTGCCTCATCTCGAAGCTCCTATTCATCTTTTCCTCAAGATGGTTTGTTGCAAGGGTCCATAAATGGAGACACCCCCCCTCCCACTCCCAAACTCTGGAGGTATTGCTCTGAATCAATCCACAAATTACCATTAAATAATCATATTTTACATAAAAGAATGTAGCAATGATCAAATACACGGGGAGTAATCTAATTACCTCTATTAATCTAAACGTAAGTAATTAATAATTTAATTCAAATTATGTCTCGCTCCTGTTCCACCTAATCTTTATAGCATGCTTCCCTGTACAGAGTGTGCACCCAAAAACGCAAATATGCACTTTTGGACCAGAGAAAATGGTGTGTGTGCTTCAATTAAAAGAGCCTTGGTACTACAGTGGTTTAAAGCACCCTGTTATTAACACAGCTGCCTGCAATTTTCTGCTGGTTCGAATCTCTCCAAGGCTCAAGGTTGACTCAGCCTTCCATCCTTTCTAAGGTAGGTTAAATGAGGACCCAGTTTGTGGGGGCAATAAGCTGACTTTGTATAAAAATATACAAAAGTATGAAGGCTATTGCTTAACGCACTGTAAGCCGCCCTGAGTCTCCGGAGAAGGGCGGCATATAAATCAAATTAAAAAAAAAAAAATTATAATCAGCAAAACTTGCAAGAAAGGTGCCACTTAATATTGGTTTCTTCCACCATTTATCCTTAGATAGTAGATCAGCGATCCCCAACCTTGGTGGCCTGGCTGAACGAGGTAGGGGGCCAAGTGAGTGGCAGGTGTACCCACACGTGCACAGCTCCATTGGTGGACTGAAGCTTGCGCGAGTAGAGTGCAAGCACAAGGGCCCACCGCTTGTGTGAGTGGAGCTTTGCGTATGTGCTTGCCCATCACTCATGCAGCCCGTTTTCCAACAGGCCGTGACCCTGTAGTAGGCTGCAGCCTGGGGTTGGGGATTCCTGTAGTAGAGAGCAACATACAGAGAGTTTGTGACTTACAACCAGTGGTGGGATTCAAATAATTTAACATCCGGTTCCCTGCCCTAATGACCGGCTGGGTAGGTGTGACCATAGTGGGCATGGCCAGAGGGTGTGACAGGCAGCACTCGGCCTCCTGCACCCCCCTGGGAGGCAAAAACAGGCCAGGGGAGGAGACACACCGCCCCCCCCTCCCGCTCCCTGTTTTGGGCCTAGGAGGCCTCCTTGAAGCCTCCTGGGAGCAAAAACAGGGCATGTGGGGACTCCTGGAAGGGGTGGGTGGGAAGGGGTGGAGCCAGCCAGCAATTTAACTACCGGTTCACCCGAACCGGCTGAATCCCACCACTGCTTACAACCATTCCTTTAGTGATTGTTCAAAATTACTACGGTACTGAATAAAGTAACTTATGACCGTTTTTCACACTTACCACCATTCTTCTTCTCCTCCTCCTCCTCCCCTCCCCCTCCCCCTCCCCCTCTTCCTCCTCTTCCTTCATGGGAATTTAAGAAATAGACTCTGCTTGTGTTACATAACCATAACTCATCCTTACACACAAATTCTGCTTCCTTTACCAATTAGGTGCATCTTTGGAGGCAGGATTTAAAACAGCAAAACTGTGTTTTGCCTTACCTAATTCTCAGACCCAGAAAAAGTAGACTTTGCTTCAATTTAATTAAACTCTGCCTGACTGTTTTACAGCCTGACAAGGCTAAACAGGGTTAGCAAAAAAATAAAATAAAATAAAAACAGATTTTGGTTTACATGTAAATATATTTCATTATAAAACCTCAGGGGAGAATGTTAACGCTTTCTTGTGTAGCTGACAGGAGTTTGACGTGCCAGCTTTTTCAGACTAACAAGCGATTCAGCCCCGAAGTTTGACATTATTCCAAGTGGATTAGTGACTTCCTTGATGCAAGGAACATTTCACCTTCTGTTGTAAAATATAATTTATCCAGCTCGGTGGAAAGATTTAGGTCTGGAAAGTCCACGGTAAAAGCTTTCGAGAGTTCTGCCTCAGTCTGGGCCTCAACCTGCTCTTTTGGGTCATTTAGTCAAAATGAAGGATTTTTGGATATTGACTTCCAGAATCTAGGGCATGCTAAGATCTCACCATTTCTAAAAATAGCACGAAGTAAAATAAAATCAGGCTGCTGAGCTTAAAACCAACCTTAAGTGCTATTTTTCTTCATCTTTATACTTACCATTTAGTGTGCTGCAGAACTATACGGTTCGTCCTCCACTTATAACCATTCGTTTAATGACTGCTTGAAGTTACAAAGGTACCAGAAAAAGTGGCTTACGGCCATTTTTCACGCTTTAAGAGCCACGGTGGTGCACTGGTTAGAATACCTTACTGCAGGCTACTTCGGCTGACTGCCGGCTGCCGGCAGTTTGGCAGTTCGATCCTGACCAGCTCAAGGTTGACTCAGCCTTCCATCCTTCCGAAGAGGGTAAAATGAGGAGCCAGATTGTTGGGGGCAACAGGTTGACTCTGTAAACCGCTTAGTGAGGGCTGTAAACAGCGGTGAAATCCGGCTGGAACTATCCGGCTCGCGTGAACTGGTAGAGCTGACACCAGGAGGCTCCACCCACCCGCCAGGACATCATTACGTCCCATTTTTTACCCTCTGCGCATATGCAGAAGAGGCACACACGAGTGTAGTGAGCGTGCTCACGTTTCCGAACCAGTAGCGAAGGTAAGTACATTTCACCGCTGGCTGTAAAGCACTGTGAAGCGGTATAAAAATCTGCTATTGCTATTGTTATTATAACTATTGCAACTGCTACATGGTCCTGTAATGAAAATTCAGATGCTTGGCAACTGACTCATATTTACAACAGTTTCAGGTGATCTGGGATCACCTTTTGCGACCTTCTGACTTGGGGAAGCCAGATTCACTTAGCAACCGTGTTACTAACTTAACAACAACAATGATTCACTTAACAACTGTGGCAAGAAAGGTCATAAAATGGGGCAAAATTCACTTAAACATCTCGCTTAGCGACTGAAATTTTGGGCTCCGTTGAGGTCGTAAGTCGAGGACTGCCTGTATTCCATTTGCACGTCGACTTTTCTTTCCCTTATTTTTTAATCCTTCAACTGCGTAAGATATATTTTAGCTTTAGCTTACAGTACAATTTTTTCTGTATTTGGTAACTCAGAATGGCAGGAAACTGTGTTGCTGTCATTTAGCAGCACAGAGCAAGACCTAGAAGCTACAAAAATAATAATAATAATGAGTATTTTTTTAAAAAAACAACAATGCAGTCTGCCCACCTCTTATAAAATAGGTTAGGAAAAAGCAAGACATTTCAAGGTAGACTCACAAAGCCCGGGCAAAGAAAAAAGGATAGGTTCCAGAGACAGAACTGCTAAAATATTATATATATTTTGGTTTATTATGTATAATATATATATATATATATATGGAACAACTTAGCTTACGTAGGTGGAACCTGGCTAGAAAGAATATGCATATAATATATATATTATACATATATATGGTTTATTTCTGCCACAGTTCAAGAATTTGAGCATCAGCATTTTTCCCAGGTGATTATCTCTAATTTTTTGCAGCTGTGCAGGTATTAGCAGGAAAATAATACCCTTCCATAGCTGGTCTGATTGAAACAATCAAGTCATCATTTAAAAAAAAACAACCATGCAGGATGGGAGACAGATGTGAGCTCCTAGCTTTAAATAAAGTGGTTTCCTGAAGGGAAAAAAAAAGCTTATTCAAATGTTGAAAACCAGACTGAATCTTTTCATTAGGCATGAAAAAGGCATGCTTTTGATAATAATGAACTTTTGCTTTCAATAGGATTTACAACCATTCAGAGGTGGTATTCAGCCAGTTCGGATCGGTTCGCACGAACCGGTTGCGGAAATCGCTGATGGGCCCACCCCCACCGCCCTGCCTCTATGCCGTCCTATTTAGGCATGTTTTTGAGGCCGGGTACATGCGCGGAAGACACGCACGAGTAAAGCAAATGCACAGAAGGCTGTGCACATGTACGTGCACTAACATTTGCGAACCGGTAGGGAAAGTAATACTACCCCTGCAACCATTCCTTATTTACAGAAGCAGTTTATTAGAACTGACTGGGAATGGTTTCCTTGAAGTGATTGGGGTACCTAATTGTACTGATAAGAATACACCAATGATTAATCTTTCAAGTAATTCAATGGTGGCATATGCCTCCGGAAAAATGTTTAAAGATAAATCAGCTAAATGTTGGAAATGCCATCAAATACCAGGATCTTACTATCATGTGGTGGACATGTCCAGAAGCTAGAGACTATTGGAGCAGAATTAAAACAAGGTTAGAAGAAATGATCCAACAACATACAGTATTGATTTAAAACCTGAGCTGTTCCTATTGGGTATCCTACCAGAAAAAATTAGTAAAGAAAATATATACTTGATTATACATGTAATAACTGCAGCGAGGATAGTATTTGCGGAAAGATGGAAAGCAGAGAAAATCCCTTTGGAAGGGGAAGTAATTAAAAAAAAATCTTAGATTGTGCAGAAATGAACAGATTAACTTTGATGATCAAAGAAAGAGAGGATACGGAATATTTTAAGATATGGGGGAAAATTTTACGATTGATTAGAGAAGAGCTATAGATAAAGATATTAATAATTAAATAGGAGAATGTCATATTAAATGTATTGTATTGTGGGGGAAATGTTGTAACAGAGAAATGGAAATTATTAAGGAAGAAATGAAGATAGGAGGAGTAACAAAAGGAAGAGGAAGTCACTGAAGAAACACCGAGGTGACACACAGAAGGATTGATGTATTATCTGTTTGTGTAAAAAATAAAAAAAAACAAAAAAACAAAATGGTAATTTAATGGTGATACATGCTGAATTCTGGGAGAAGAAGCTAAACTACTAACAGTTTGCCAGGCTGATACACCTGAGATGCTTTTCTGGCTGCCGCACGCTGCTACCTCATATTTATGTGATTGTCTACTTGCACTCCAAGATCCTTTCACAGTTACCATTATTGAGCCAGGTTTCACCTAATCTGTACCTGTACATTTGGGGGTTTTTTGGCTAAGTGTTAGACCTCACTTTTCTCTCCATTGAACTTCATTTTGTTGGATATCGCCCAGTATCAGGGGTGAAATCCAGCAGGTTCTAACAGGTTCTGGAGAACCGGTAGCGGAAATTTTGAGCAGTTCGGAGAACCGGCAAATACCACCTCTGGCTGGCCCCAGAGTGGGGTGGAATGGAGACTTTGCAGTATCCTTCCCTGCAACCACCACCAAGCCACGCCCACATAACCGGTAGTAAAAAAATTTGGATTTCACCACTGCCCAGTATTCAAGTCTTCCTATAATAGAATTCTTTGCTCTTTTCAGTTAACCCCAGTTTTAATTCTTTCCTGTTAGCTCTTTAAGGAATCTCACCGATGTTCATTATGACCAAGTTGGTAATCTGTTCCTATCTCTCCTAGATTGGCCATGATGGGGCTACGCCAGAAAGCTCCTGGCTCTTGGATGAATTCAGTGTCACGGTGCCAACTAAGGGTGTGATATACACTTTTGTTTGCAAATGCTGGCTGGCTCAGGATAGAGGAGATGGCCTCACATCACGTGTCTTCAACATCCTGGATGCAGATTGCATCAATATTGGCTTAAAGGTTAGTCATGCCATCCATCTGGTAAATTTGCAAAATTCTTTTCTCTCATCGGGTACATGTATACTGTCAAGTTTCCAAAAGATGCCCTAATTAATTCATGAGCCATGATCCAAACTTCAAAGAAAATATAGTCATTTATTTGGAGCAACATTCCGGCAATACTGGGATGCAGTCAGGACTGATCCCATGCAGATTTACGTCCCCCTATGACCCTGTCTCTCCCCTCCTCCCTGGCCATGTCATAAATCACATTCTCCAATTATCCACTTTGGCTGGCTGTGAAACCTAACACCCTCCTTCTGATTGCGGTCAGAAAGAATGTATGGAATTCACTTCAGTTCTCCCTCCCTCCTGCGCATGGCAACTTGAAAGCTTTGCAAGTTGACATATACATTCGAACTAGACTGCATTGTTTCTCTGTGTCATATAATATAGGTGGGTATATGCACAATTTTGTATTTATTTATTTAGTCCTGTTTATGTAGTGTACATTGGCGGCAGTGACCCTTTGAGAGCTGTATGCAATGAAATTTCATTTTACTGTATGCCAACCAATGTACATTCAAAGTGAAAATAAAGTTATTCTAAGTTCTAAAAGTGGTTGTAAGTTGAGGACTACCTGCAACATGTTTGCTTCAAATGAGAATTAGAAGGTCTTTCAGTAAGACTAACCTCTCTCCCTCCCTCCCTCCCTCCGCCTCTGCCTTCCTCTCTCTCTCTCTTTTTCTGACAGAGAGAGAGAGGAGAGAGAGAAGAGGAGAGGGGAGGGGAGGAGAGGAGGGGAATGGAGGAGAGGAGAGGAGAGGAGAGGAGAGGAGAGGAGAGGAGAGGAGAGGAGAGAAGAGAAGAGAAGAGAAGAGAAGAGAAGAGAAGAGAAGAGAAGAGGGAGGGAGGGAGAATATGAAAAGTCAGAGGAATGGAAAAGAAGTCCAATTTGTCAGCTGATTCCAAAACATGTTTTGCAATGCAGAAATTATTTTCATCTTCAGAGTTGATACATTCTCCTCTACCGCACCTAGACAGATACCCAGCTACAGTATATAAGCAGAAGCCCATTTTACATTGTAAAGCCAATCAATGACTCCATGATTCCCTATCTGACCCATCCTATTTTAAAAGATGGTGGCTTGGTCTCTTGGCATTTGTGGGGTGGTTCTATTTTAGTTTTTAAAACCTGGGTGGTTGGTGTTTTTTTGTTTTTGTTTTTTTTGGTTGCTAAACGTGAACTTCTATTTTCTGCAGATTCTCTATGAAGTGACTGTGGAGACTGGAGATTTGTCAGAGGCTGGGACGGACACCGGCATTTTTTTCACATTATTTGGATCGAGTGGGTGTTCAGAAGAGATTCAGCTGGAAAAAATTGGAAACAGGTAACAGGCACTTCAGCAGCAAACATCACCATCTCACTCTCCAGCTAGGTTGGCCCCTTCCAACTGGCTCTCTTGATTCAAGGTATTTGGAGAGGAGTAGCCCATGGACATGGTGGCTCAGTGGCTAAGACGCTGAGCTTGTTGATCGAAAGGTCTGCAGTTCAGCAGTTCGAATCCCTAGTGCAGCGTAATGGGGTGAGCTCCCCTTACTTGTCCCAGCTTCTGCCAACCTAGTATTGGAAGAAACATCCTTCTGGGTTCTGCTCCAAGTGGGGAAACAGACACTGGAAACATGGAGACTGCTTGGTAAGATGGTTTAATGGTGGACAGGATCACATGGCTTGAGTTCCTGAACAGAAAAGGGGCAGATACAGTAAATCCTCGGGTTTTTATGCTCTCTCTGGCTCTGCATTTCTTGGGGCCCAGAAAGAGTATCCTGATTGGTTGTCAGACTCCCAGGGGGTGGGGGCCTTGCTGGCTGATGGTCACATGTGCTTCCCAGGTCACATGTGGTGAGTTTCTGCTGCTATTGTGTAGAGGGCTAATCCTATCTTTGTTGGATCTTTGGCAATTCCTACTATGGCTCTGCCTGAAGGAGGCAGATCTTTGTTATGTAGAATAGACTGGCCCAGGCCTTAATGGCCCATTGACAAAGGGGTGGGGGCAGGAAGATGGGAGCTGCTTCAAAACATGCTTATCCCAGGGAAATATAATATTCTGCCTTTTTCATATTTCCCAAAATATTTCACTCTTCCAGGAAAGGGGTGGGTGCTAACTTCCTACACTAGCAATTCAAAAGCATGTAAAAAATGCAAGTAGAAAAATAGGGACCACCTTTGGTGGGAAGGTAACAGCGTTCCATGCGCCTTTGGTGTTTAGTCATGCCAGCCACATGACCACAGAGACATCTTCGGACAGCGCTGGCTCTTCGGCTTTGAAACAGAGATGAGCACCGCCCCCTAGAGTCACGGAGATGAGTACCACCCCTTAGAGTCAGAGTCATATGTGCGAGGGGAAAATTAACCCTTACCTTTTTTAGGTCATGGAAGGTGACTTCAAATTTACCTGTGTTGTGCTAAAACCTGCCATATAATTCCTCAGATGTTTCCTTTCCCTTCCAATACAGTTTCCTGCCATCAAGGCCCACAATCACTAGAAGAAAATTCTCATTCATTCCGTGAGAACTATCAGGAAAAACAATGCCAAACAATTTTTCAGCCTCGTGCAAGTAGTCCTGGACTTATGACTACAATTGAGCCCCAAATTTATGTTGCTAAGCAAGATGGTTGTTAAGTGAGTTTTGTCCCAGCCTTTCTTGCCACCATTGTTAAGTGAATCCCTGCACTTCTTAAATCAGTAATCCAGTTGTTAAGTGAATCTGGCTCCCCCCCATTGGCTTTGCTTGTCAAAAGGTCACAAAAGGGGATCACGTGACCTTGGGACACTGCAACCGTCATAAATACGTGTCAGTTGCCAAGTGTCCGAATTTTGATCACATGACCAGGGAGATACTGCAACGGTTGTATGTGTGAAAAATGGTCATATAATTCACCTTTGTCAGTGCCCTTGTAATTTTGCACTGTCACTAAACGAACTGTTGTAAGTCAGGGACCATCTGTACTTGTCCTATCCTATCAGTGACAGGCAGCAATACCATAGAAGCAGATAAGGCCACAAGGTAGCCCAGTTAGCTGGTAGCCCCAATTTTGGCTTCTCTGGAATAAAGCTAAGCAGGAGAGAACGTGATTAATAATTGGATGAGAAACCATTAAGAAAGCTCAAGTCCAAAGATCTTAGAGAAAGTCAATATTGGAATTAAGTCTGGGGGGGGGGAGAATCTTCATTGTGTAGAAAGTTAGCACCCACCCCTCTCCTAGAAGAATGAACTATTTTGAGAAATATTAAAAAAGCAGAATATTGTATTTCCCTGGATGAGAAATTAAGAAACATGTTTTTTTAGAGGGAGAAAGCAGACCCCACCTTTCTTAATAGCAGATGTCAGCTCTTAAGAGATAAAGAGCTTGTTGAGATCTAGGTAGCTCTATTCATAGGCCCCATCTTTCTTAATAGCCCTCAGCAGATATCTACAAAACAAAAGACCTTCAGGCAGGGCCGGATTTAGATAAAAAGAGGCCCTAGGCTATTCCACTTATGAGGCCCTTTCACCTATAGTGAAAGTGTAATTTTAATTTTGCTAACAATTTGAATGTAGGCCCCTCTTGATCTTGAGGCCCTAGGCTGAAGCCTAGTTAGCCTATAGGAAAATCCGGCCCTGCCTTCAGGTCCAGGATCCTTCAAGACATAATAGGATTAACCCACTAAGACAAAGACCTCATTACATCGCACAATCTCCTAAGGATCATTGCATCACCCTCCAAACTTCAACCAAACCTAGCTCAGACAACCTACAGAGCCAGCTACGACCCCTACAACAGCCAAATAGAATACATGTTCTTGCACAGGAACAGGAAGCTCAAGTTCAAAGCCCAAAAGAAGGTAGAAAAGCCACCGACTCTCAACTCCATGTGATCAGCTGCCCATAATCACAGATGCTTGGTGGTTCTACTTCATCAATAAATGGTCCCTCTTTCCAAATGGCCTCCATTTTGTCTCTGGTACCGTTCTCCCGGATTGGACCTGGGTCTGGATATTTCTTCCAACAATTCTTCCAAAATCCTAAACCAGTGGAGATTTTTGGGGGGTGGAGATGGGGGCTTGGGAAAAGTCAGGAATCCTTAAACTCTGTTTTCTCAGGGGGGAAAAGAGAAACATTGTCTTTTCTCACTTCAACGTGTTTGTCACTTTCCCCCTTTTGTTGTCTAGTCTGATTGATTGTGGATCTCCGGAGTCTCTAGCGAAGTGAAGTCTTTTTCTTCCTGTGTTATTTAATCTTAATTTAAAGGCAAGAGGCTGAACCAGGAAAAAGTTTCTGGAGATTACATTTGTGCTTTAATCCCAAACTGAGACAGAGTTTGGTGTTGTTCTGTCCCAGCTAAGGACCCCAAAGAACACAGCACACACAAACTCCGTTCAAACCTTAGTTTACTGAATAAACGAGTCTTTTACAACAACGGCTGTTAATTAATTGCATTAACAGCCGCCAAGAATTCAAAGAATAATAACTGAAAACTTATTATGGTTGGCAGAATGCCCAGAAGCAATTTGCAGGAAACTGATAAGATAAGACAAGACACGAAGGTATGTGAACGAAGTTGTTCCCTGCAAATTGCTTCAGTTGGCGTTCCTCCTGAAATAGGCTAAGGGAGTGGCCAATTAGCCCCAAGCCTTACTCTCAAGGAGACCTCCTCCTGAGGAGCCACTCCTGCCTTTTGGCAGCTCTGCACACCCGTGCATTGAGAAGAGGCTCCTCCTCTTCTTCCTCTTCACTTATGGGAGCTTCTGCAGGTTCTGAAGGCCTTGGCTGAATCCCCGCCTCTGGCACCACATCTTCTCCAGCCTCCTCATTGTCCGACTCGAGTGCCAGCTGCACAGGCTGCTGGCGCAGCACCACACCAGCCTCCTTGCTGTCTGAATCAGCTACTAGCTGCACAGGCCGCGTACAGGCCACAACAGGTGTAGTGGTTAAGGCATCAGGCTAGGAACCAGGAGCTCATGAGTTCTAGCCCTACCTTGGGCATAAAGCCAACTGGGTGACCTTGGGCTGGTCATTTTCTCTCAACCCTAGGAAGGAGGCAATGGCGAAGCACTTCCAACATATTGCCGAAAAAACTATATAGGGAGTCGTGCGGGCAATCACTGGGAATCCATGCTGATTTAAAAACACCAAAGAAATAACTCCGAACTATAATTCCGTTATATGCAAACTCCTGATTACGCTGCCAAATTTTGATGGCATGATTGCTACAAATCAGCGACAGAGGTTCCTGTTATGCTGAAGTGCAAAAACACGAATATTGTTGTGCAAGTCCTAAAATAAGCATTAAGCCTAATAAAAATACTAAGAGCTTCCCCCCAACCCTCAAACACCAAAGCATAACAAAAGCCCCCCTCTCCAAAAAAAATTTCAAATGCATTTTTCTTAGTGGGTCAAACATGCTGCAGAGATGCACGATCACTTTGCAGAGTGATTCAATTAAAGAAACAAACAAACAAACAAACAATGGTTGCATGAATTGAGCACAAAGACTGTTGTGCAGCAAACTCAGTTTTAGCCTTATTTATACATTTATTTATTAAATTTACATGCCACCCATTTCCGTATCAAGGACTCTGGTTGTGTTGTGGCTCCGTTACCGGAGCCTGTGTCATCGTCAGGAGAGGACTCAGAGAGTGAAGGGGAGGAGTTGGCAAGGCCTCCCTCTCCAGGACCCTCCTCTCTGGCAATGCCTTCGGTGTCCGCTGAAGGGCAAGAGATAGGGCCGGGGCCAAGCACATCCACGCAGCCACAGGTGGACAGTGATGAGGGTAATGAGTCTTGGCTGGATCCACGCCAGCGTTGCAGAGATAAGCGCACGCAACAGAAGAAAGGGCGTGCCTGAGATTAGGCTGAGTCACTGGACCACACCCCACAGGATATAAAAGGGAGCGTGGTGGCCAGTCAAACCTTGTGATGAACAAAGCTGAAAGCTTCCACGCCATTCTGCATTGCCGGACTTTTTGCTATAGACTTTGCTGGATTATCTCTGGACTTGATTGACTTCGTAATTATTGAGCTGTTTCTTTTGATGTACCAGGAGTGGGGAGAAGTTATCTCTCCTCTTCGTAAGTAATAAACTCTTGGCAGGCAGCCACTAGGTTGTTGCCAAGTTCCGTTATCATAAGGAAAAGGATTTTGCCGGCTGGTTTGGTCTTTAACTCTTGAACGTCTATTGGTGTGTGTGCGTGTGGGACGGGGACAGAACAATACTCCTGTATTAATATTTCACTACCCAAACTAAGTAACATTGTCAGTGACTAGCATTACCTTAGTTGGGTAAAACAAGCAAGCTCAGAGAGCATCAAGGATCCCTCAATTCCTCCTTAGTTCTAGGTTGCTTCTCTCCTTGATGAGTTTCCACCCATTGCTTCTTGTCCTGCCTTCAGGCACTTTGGAGAATAGCTTGACTCCCTCTTCTTTGTGGCAGCCCCTGAGATACTGGAACACTGCTATCATGTCACCCCTAGTCCTTCTTTTCATAATATCTATTATGATGCCATAAATAACAATTAAAAGGTTAAAAACCTTAAAACATTGGAACTTGAAACTTAAAAACATTAAAATTGACAACGAGTCTTCATAACGTATGTAACTTAATATACATATTAAGCTACCTATATGCATCTTTGGTTTCCATGAACTGATTCCGCCTCTGCAAGTCATTGGAAGTTCTGACAAATCTTCCTTTGACTTCACAGATTTCCTGAGATCTTCCTTGCCGAATCCTTAGGGGAAAAAAGCAGTTGTGAAATTCAAATTTTTTTACTACCGGTTCTGTGGGCGTGGCTTGGTGGGCGTGGCAGGGGAAGGATACTGCAAAATCCCCATTCCCACCCCACTGCCAGCCAGAGGTGGTATTTGCTGGTTCTCTGAACTACTCAAAATTTCCACTACCAGTTCTCTAGAACCTGTCAGAACCTGCTGGATTTCACCCCTGGAAAAAAGGTGTTCCTCTTTTTAAAAAAAATAAATTTTATTACTTTTCTATTAATTACATTTCTTAGTGCTTGATAAACATCGTATTGTTTAATTTGCTTAATAATTCTGGTTATATTCTTAATCTCCACCCCTTTTTTCTCAACCACAGGTAAAATCGATTCCATGTTTGATAGTATTCTGTGTCTTCTTTCTGCTTAATTTTCAATGTCAATCGATTCATTTCTGCACAGTCTAGTATCTTCTTAATTATCTCTTCATCTTGCTGTGTTTCTTCATCTTTCCAATATTGTGCAAAGATAATCCTCGCTGCTGTTAAGACATGTAATCCTAAATACATACTTTTCTTATCAAATTTTTCTGATATCATCCGTAATTACAAAAAAACAATTGTTTAAAATCTCCATGCTTCCCTATTAGGGTTGCCAGGTCTGCATTTTTACAATTAAATTATATATTTTCTTACAAACATTTTAACACGTATTAAAATAATCACTTCAAAACTTTACTTAAAATTCAAAACATCAAATATATTATAATAATATGTAAAATATTAAATTACATTTTACTTTGCTGTCATGTGTGTTTTTTATTTGACTGCGCAGTTTTGATCAATTCTTTGTGTTTAAGGAATAATTCTTTAATTTCAGTACAACGTTGAGAAATATTAAAAAATATTTCACTTAAATTAATTAAATTAAATTAATATTAAAAAAAAGTTCACTTCGAACTGATGGTACAAGCAGTTGGTTACGTTCGTCAGTCCACAAATTTCCCATGATGCTGAAAATTCGTTCAACGTTTGCATTTGATACTGGAATTGATGCACAATACTGGAACAGTTTCAGTAAACTCGGAGCTGGCTCTTTCTTGAAAAAGTACGTCCACTTATCAAGGGATGAATCGCCCTGCAGATGAACATAAACTTCTTCTAAGGCAGAAATTTCATCGAAGAGAGTGTTGGGTGGAAGTTCTTCTCTCCATGGTGATAATAACCAGATGTTCGTCATTTCTTCTAAAGTTGGAGGATTATTGCGATCAATTAGATTGAAACAATTTAGCGTCTCATATACTGAATCGGTGAAATTATACCACTTTTCTAGGTACGCAATGGCTCTTTGATACACGTTGATGGCTTCTTTCTTGAACTTTTGCACGGCATTCTCAGGCAAATGTTTTTTACGTAAGGCAAATAAAACTTTCATTCCAAAAAACTGCTCATCGTATTTTTTGTCTCATTCTAACTTATGAAAAAAAAGACGCGATTCTCCTATCCTTATTCTCTTAGACTGTACAGCTTTAGATTACGTACCATTTCATCATAAAGCTTTTGAATAAAAAAAAAATGTCCACTGTTTTGTGAAAAAAAATAGTGAACATAATGTGGAAAAAGTGGACTGTCCGCTCAAATAGTGGACACCTGGCAAGACTATTCCCTATTATCTTTTCTAACCATCTGTATTTTTGCCCAAGGTGTTCCTCTGTTTTAACAATCCGGTTTTTTTACTAAGCTGAAATTGAGTGGCCGCTAGTAAATTATAAGGCTTTTGCACAGCGGCTCTAAATTTAACCCCCAAACACGCTTGCCATTTGGGAATTGTTGAGGTAGCAAAAGATGGTTTATTCACCTTCAGACCGGGAGCAAAGAGAGAAAGGTAGTAAATCTTACCTCCCTTTAAGTGTTAGTGCAAGGTGATCTATGCATTCAACCAGAACATCTTTTTAAACTGTCTCAGATAATAAGGCAATTTAATTTAAATCAGCATTAGCTGTGAAATAGCTCCAGCAACACAAATATTGATAAGTGGACACGAGGGAAAAACAGCCAGGGGAACTAAGTATCTGGAGGAATGAGCGTGGCTTCCAAGTGTATTCTCTCTCTCCCTCTCTCTCTCTCTCTCTCTCTCTCTCTCTCTCTCTCTCTCTCTCCCTTTTATTAGACTTTTCTTCAGATTTATGTTCTGGTGTGTTAAGGGTTAAACTTAACCCTTCTTGCTGTCCAATTCATGACTTGAGGATAACAGCCTCTGGTTAATATCCTCATAGCCCAGTGGTGAAATCCAAATTTTTTTACTACCAGTTCTGTGGGCGTGGCTTGGCAGGGGAAGGATACTGCAAAATCCCCATTCCCTCCCCACTCCAGGGGAAGGATACTGCAAAATCCCCATTCCCTCCCCATTCCAGGGGAAGGATACTGCAAAATCCCCATTCCCTCCCCACTCCTGGGGTAAGGATCAGGGGTGGGTTCTAAATTTTTTTACTACCGGTTCTGTGGGCGTGGCTTATTTTGTGGGAGTGGCTTGGAGGTCATGTGACAATTATTTAGGATTTAGCAGAGGTACTGGTCTACCAGGCTTTTAACGTGGGCGTGGCTAGCTGGTCAGAGTCATTTCTGGAAGGTCCTCGCACTTACGACCAGTCCTCGCACTTACAGCCTGACTCATTTGTTTGCTTTAAACACTGATCAGCTGTAGGGCGGCCCTTTGAAGCCCCGCGGCAAGAGTTTAAACAGTTTCTTTCCCTCTAGTCATCAGCTGGGACTCAGGAGGCAGCAATAGATTGGGGGTGGGACCAAATAAAAGGTAAGGATAATGTGGGGGGGGTGGGAGGGGTGGGAAGGTGGGGGGGAAGAACCGGTTCGGTGACGTCATATCGTCACCCCTACCGGCTCGGTCAAACCGGACCAAACCGGGAGGAACCCACCACTGGTAAGGATATTGCAAGATCTCCGTTCCCATCCCACTCTGGGGCCAGCCAGTATTTGCCAGTTCTCCAAACTGCTCAAAATTTCCATTACCGGTTCTCCAGAACCTGTCAGAACCTGCTGGATTTCACCACCTGCCGGAGAGGTTTTGGAAACCGTGCAGAACTGGTTTCCCATAAAGAGATGGGGATTGACTGCGCACTCTACCAAATTTGGGATGTCTTGATTATCTCTAAGTACTAACCAAGACCAACCTTACTTAGATTTCACATCTGGCTAGATGCTACATTTTAAAAAAAAAGAAGCTGTGGAAATAAATTGACGTAGACAAATGACAAAGATGCGCACACTTTTTATCTTTTCAGGGGAACATTATTTTTTTATTTTATTTTATTTTATTTATATGCCGCCCTATCTCCGTAGGACTCAGGGCGGCTCACAACAATAAAATATCTGAATAAAAGCGTGCTAAAATACATGTTAACCACCCCCCCCCCAGATGCAAGTGATTATCCTATGTTGTACTCCAACTTTTTCCAATGTGGCCAGGCTGTATCTGAGGAATTTCGGTACTTAAATCCCATGTACTTAAAAGCATCTGGTTGATGTCCTGTCAGATGACAAGCCAGGCACCAAAAGTTCTGAACAAATCTCTCTTCTCTTCCAGATTTGAAATTGGCCAAAAGGATACTTTTATCCTAGAAATTCCAGATATTGCGCCACTCAAGAAGATGCGAATAAGGACAGACGGAAGAGGATGCCGCCCTGACTGGTTTCTGGAACAGGTAGCATATCCATTCTTTAATCCTTCTACCACTGATGATGTTACCTTAAAAGTAAAGGTAAAGGTTCCCCTCGCACATATGTGCTAGTCATTCCCGACTCTAGAGGGCGGTGCTCATCTCCGTTTCAAAGCCGAAGAGCCAGCGCTGTCCGAAGATGTCTCCGTGGTCATGTGCCCGGGATGACTCAATGCCAAAGGCGCCCGGAACGCTGTTACCTTCCTACCAAAGGTGGTCCCTATTTTTCTACTTGCATTTTTTACGTGCTTTCGAACTGCTAGGTTGGCAGAAGCTGGGACAAGTAACGGGAGCTCACCCCATTACGCGGCACTAGGGATTCGAACCGCTGAACCACCGACCTTTCAATCGACAAGCTCAGCGTCTTAGCCACTGAGCCACCGCGTCCCTTATTACTATTGGATAATAAAACATCTGCAAAAAAACCCCACCCATCTTAGAGAATACCAAAGATCCCACATTCCTCCTCCTTTCACTCCACAAACCCCACTCCCTTCTAGCACTGATGACGTTACTTAGTTTGATAATGAAACATCTGTAAGAAAACCACCAACCACAGAGAGCACCAAGGACCCCACAGTCCTTCTCCTCCTCCTCCCCCTTTCTTTCCTTCTTTCTGTCAGGGTTCCAAGTAATAGATCCATTGCAAGCAAAACTCCGAGGCAGGTGAATTCCTCAAAGAATGGCTTTATTGGATATATCAGATTGGCACATATGTTGTGGCCCCGCCCTCTGAGCCTATCCCATCGGAGGAAGAAAGCTCCGAGCATGAGGAAGAGGAGTCAGCCAGGCCTCCCTCTCCAGGCCCCTCCCCTCTGGCACTGTCTCAGGTGCTGGCCAAGGGAGAGGAGATTAGCAGGGAGACAGGTGTCTCGGATGAGAGTGAAGGAGAGACATCATTCCTGGACGCACGCCTCTGAAGGCGTGATAAATGATTGCAGCAGCTCAGGAGGCGTGCTAGGGATTAGAACTGAGTCACTGGACCACACCCCAGAGACTATATAATAGAGGGTGGTGGCCAGTGATCCCTGTGACGAACAAAAATAAACCTTGGATAGTCACTAAAGCATCGTTTGAAACTGCTGAGAGGAATATTATTTTCTGTTGGACTCTTGTACGCTGAGTATATTATCTTTCTGTTTCTGTGGAAATAAAAGCACTTGGCAGACGGTGTGTATATCGCTGCCAAGTTGGAGATAAAGACCTGGGTGTGTGCCAAGTGATTCCTTAACCCTCGGCTGGCTGTGTTTGTGTGTGTGTGTGTGGACGGGGACAGATCACAACCATGGCAGGTCTGGTGACATCACCCCTCCTTCCTCCAGCCAGGTGTGAGGACGTCCTTGGTTCCCAGGGGAAAGTATGTTATTTTGGCTACATAACACCAGCTATCTCTAGTCCCCCGCTCCCTATCCCTCACTCCAGTGTGGCAACACTGAAGCTCCAAGATGGCTTCGGCCAGGTCAGCTTTAGGGTTGACACTTTCCTTCTTTCCTTTTTCTCCTTTCCTCCTTTCCTTCTTTCCTCCTTTCCTTCTGTCTTTCTTTTTCTTTTTCTTTCCTTCCTTCCTCTCCACACACCTCTCTCCCCTCTACCCTGGAAATGAATTTAGGGGAGGGAAGATGTCAGCGTTCCAGCGCTGGCATATGAAAAGGAGAGGAGAAGCTTGAACATTTGCCTACTTAATTCCTTTGAAGATTCTGTTTCCTCAGAGATGGGAGGAGGGGGGGACATTCTTGTGATCTGACGGAGATGGGATGAGGAGAGTGACTTGGAAGAGAGCCAATGAGATGCAGAGAATTGGGGATCGGAAAGGGAGGGATTGGGGGGCAAAAGGTCAGTGCTGACTGCGAAAGAGCCAGGGACAGATCACTACGCTCAATAAAGAGAAAATTTCCTCAAAGATCGGCAGTTTGGAAATTCATTTATTTTGAGATAGCATCGAAACCTGACAGAAGGATTACTGCTGACACCCATTTCTTTGTTGATGGTAGATTTCCATGTTCTATCTTACTGCTACTTCTACCAGCTACTGTGGGGACAAATAGGAAGAGGGACGATCGTGTACATCACTTTGAGCTCCTGTACAATAATGGGACATAAATAAGTCCATCAATGAACATAGTTGACCTAGTACCAAACTGATCTAAGCTGGAGTCAGGTCGTGTGTAAATTAAATAAGTAAATAAACAAGGACACAAAAACTTTCAGGCCTGAATTCTCCAAATCCCCCTCTTCTCAAAAGGTTATCTGTGGAATGTACATGTAAGAAAAAGAAAATGTCCTTCAGTTATTCATCTGGCAAAGATTTCCAAGACCGAGTTCATTATGAATGTGTATGCATAGATATATGTATGTATGTGTAGTACGGAAGATGCTAGACTTGGATTGGGGAAACTTAGTTTCAGATGTCTGTGGAGATTCTCAGTCATCTAGGTCGACGTGGTTGTCCCAAAGGTGTTTTTTTCAAAAGGCAACTGGACTTTCTTGTTTTTTTCCTAAAGATATTTCGCTTCTCATCCAAGAAGCTTCTTCAGTTCTGACTGGATAGTGGAGGATGGAAGGATTTATATTCTTTGCAGTCCTCTGGTTGTTATTACTCCCTCTGAGAGTCATTGAGGCCACTTGGAGGTTTATCTGCATTCAGTCACGGAAACTCCCTCAGTTACTTTGAGGCCAAGTCTGTTTTGTCCCTGTCTCACACACGCACACCAGCAGTCGACCAAGAGTTAAAATAAACTTGCAGCCAATAATTTCCTTTGATAACAGAATTGGCAGCAACCCAGTAGCTGCTTGCCAAAAACTTTACTCACAAAAGGAGGTTTTCCTCCTCCATCAGATAAACCAAAATAAATTCACAAAGCCAAAGAATTGTCAAATCCAGTCCATAATAAATCCAAGGAAGGCAGATAACGAAGTTCCAGAAACACAGTATGACTTGCTAGCTGTTCAGTTTTGTCCGTCACAAAGCCTGAATGGCCACCACACCCCCTTTTATCCACTGTGGGGTGTGGTCCAGTGACTCAGCTTAATCTCTGGCACGCCTCCTTCTCTGCTGTGTGCGCTTGTCTTTCCGACGCTGGCGGGGATACAGCCAAGACTTATCTCCGTCGCTGTCTTAACTGCGGCTGCTCGGAGATGCCTGGCTCCTGGCCTATCTCTTCTCCTTCGGAAGACACCTGAGGCATTGCCAGAGAGGAGGGTCCTGGAGAGGGAGGCCTTGCCAACTCCTCTCCTTCACTTTCAGAGTCTTCTCCCTCCGATAAGACGGGCTCGGGGGTCGGAGTCACAACAAAGTCCCTCACTCTTTCACAGTGAGGGTGTTGTTGTTGTTGTGAGGAAAATGGAAGGAGGAGCCAGTATCTATGTAGCCTTGACCCAAAGGTGCATTGAAGACATTTTGCTTCTCATCCAAGAAGCTTCCTCAGTTCTGACTGGGTGGTGGGAAATGGAAGGATTTCATTCAGCTTCTTGGATGAGAAGTGAAATGTCTTCAAAGAAAAACCAAAATGTCCAGTTGCCTCTTGAAAAAAAGCACCTTTAGGACAACCATGTGCTGGATGACTGAGAATCTCCACAGACATATGCAGCTGTCAGGGTTCCAAATAACACCCCCAATGAAAGAAGACTCCGAGACTAGAAGTTCCTCAAAGTTCCATTTTATTAGAGATGTCATATTGGCACATCTGGGAAAACCCGAATCTGAAAGCTTTCAGGTTTTCCCCACCCAAAGGAAAGTCCAAGTCCCTGCCCAGCACCCACACGCCCATCACATGGTCCCATCAATGCATCGTCCCAACTGGAGATGCCTCCCAGTCACACCACTCCAGGTGTAGGGCGAGATGTCCTTGACTCCCAGAGAAAGGAATGTTATTATGGCTAGATATCTCTCCAACTCCATACAATCCCCTCCTCCCAGTTTCCCACAGCACTAAATGTGGCAGCCCTGAAGATCCAAAGTCAAAGATGGCTTCCAGGACTGACAGCAGCCTTGAGTTCCTGAAGATAAAAAAAAAAATAGACACAGACAATAGAACAATTTTCTTTTTTCTGGCTGATGAGACAGGAAATGGATCTGTCCTGGCTCCATCTGTTATGCTGAAGATGTACGAGTGTTTTAATCACACCATCGAAGTGATCCGTGCTCCTCATTCCAGTGGGCTCCTCCTTCAGAAGCCATCTAAATATATTCCATTTATTGTGGTTGAAGACTTGGAACAGGCATGAGAAATTTCTCTTCTCTTCTTGGCAAGGGGATGCGTTTTGATAATGTTTCCTCTTTTTTTCCCTCCCTTATCTTGGCAGAAAGGAAGACCAAGGAGGTCTGTCAAAAAGAAAAAGAAAGCCAAGTGTAACATATAATTTCCCTCAATGGACACGCTGCTATTAGGCGCTATGAGAAAAGCACGGTGGCAGTGTGCCAGGGCACCTGGTATCCATCACAAATCCACATTTTTGAGTGTGTGTGTGTGTGGAGGGGGAGTCTTCTTCAGGAAAATGTAGTTACTATGGACTTTTCAAAAGAATTGTTAGAAGAAATATCCAGGTTCTGTTCCAAGCCGGGAGAAAGGCACTGAAGACAAAATGGAGGCTGGAGGCTGATTGGAAAGAAGGTCCATTTATTGATGAAGCAGAACCACCAAGCACATGTGATTCTGAGCAGTTGACCACATGGAGTTGAGAGTGAGGGATTTTTATACTTCTCTTGGGCTTTGAACTTGAGCTTCCTGTTCCTGTGTAAGAATATGTTTTCTGTTGGTTGTTGTCAGACTCCCATAGTGCCATGTACAAATCATAGGAGTTTGTCTGAGCTAGGTTTGGTTGAAGTTTGGTCTGATGCAATGAAGGGGCTTGTTGGGCAATTCCTGTTGTGGCTGAGGGCTAACCCTACCTTTGCTGCAGGGGATTTTTTGCCTATGAATAGAACTACCTAGATCTCAACAAGCTCTTTATCTCTTAAGAGCTGACATCTGCTATTAAGAAAGGTG